AGTAGATGTCCTAACCGACTTGCCAAAACTATAGTTTGTTAACAAGACATTTGTGGAGTGGTTGAAAAACGAGTTTTAATGACTCCAACATAAGTGTATGTAAACTTCCGACTTCAACTGTATTAAGGAAAGATATTCCACAAATTAACTTTTAAGAAGGCACACCTGTTAATCGAAATGCATTCCAGGTGACTACCTCATGAAGCTGGTTGAGAGAATGTCAAGAGTGTGCAAAGCTGTCATCAAGGCAAAGGGTGGCTATTTGAAGAATCTCAAATTTAAAATATATTTTGATTTCTTGAACACTTTTTTGGTTACTACATCATTCCATGTGTTATTTCATAGTTTTGATGTCTTCACTATTATTCTACAATGTAGAACATAGTAAAAATAACGAAAAACCCTTGAATGAGTAGGTGTTCTAAAATTCTTGACAAGTAGTGTATATTTTGGGATTCCGTCTCTGTAAACATAATTTGCCTCATGACACGCGAGTGGAGACGACTCTCCTCAATTACCTTTTTCAAAAGGAGGCGAGGACAGAGGTGAGGACGCGAGGAGTCAAGCACAACCAATTGAGATTCTCCCGTTGTTTGCGTCCCAATTCTCCACACTTCTCTCAAAGTGTGCACTTAAACACTGCCCGTAATGGATTTCAAAGCATTGGGTTGGTGTTAGCATTGGCTGGAGGCAGTTTCCATCATTATTAAATCCATCAGGACTCTAGAGAACATAATAGAACAGTGTTCCTCAATCCATTCCCGGGAGACCCCCAGGGAGTGCACATTTTTGTTTTAGCCCAGCATTAATCAGGGACTTGAATCAATGATTGGTTCATTAGTTCACCCCCTACCCCCCTTTTTTTATTCTGAAAATTGTAACATGTTTAATGTATTGATAACATCAGTCTTGCCATTCTCTCATAGCCTTGTGAGATATAAAAATAAAAATAAAGGAATTCCTGTTTCTAATAAGGTGAAAAGATCAACATACTTTGAACAGCCTTGTGAGTTTCCTCACAGCCTAGGACTGGTTTCCTACAATACTCTGCACTCCTTGATCATGAAATTAAATCAAACTCGTTTTACAAAAGTAAATGAATCACACATACTGTATATTTATCTTGAACCTACAACATGAATGATCCAGAGTTGCTTTGCTTTCCTAACAGAGTTGTCCATATCTTGCTTTCTTATTCCCAATCTCCTGACACTCTCCTGATCTCTGTCTTAATTGTCTTTATTTTTTCCAATTTTGTTCTGTTTTCTTTCTTTGTGGATGTTCTATATATTACTGTCCAGGTTCAATTAGTGTCTGAAGCTTATCCCGCAGTCACCACAGTGAAAGGGTTTCTCTCCAGTACCTTTATGAGTCTGCAAATGCACAGGTAGGTTTTCCTTGAGTCTGAAGCTTATCCCGCAGTCACCACAGTGAAAGGGTTTCTCTCCAGTACCTTTATGAGTCTGTAAATGCACAGGTAGGTTTTCCTTGAGTCTGAAGCTTATCCCACAGTCACCACAGTGAAAGGGTTTCTCTCCAGTACCTTTATGAGTCTGCAAATGCACAGGTAGGTTTTCCTTGAGTCTGAAGCTTATCCCGCAGTCACCACAGTGAAAGGGTTTCTCTCCAGTACCTTTATGAGTCTGTAAATGCACAGGTAGGTTTTCCTTGAGTCTGAAGCTTATCCCACAGTCACCACAGTGAAAGGGTTTCTCTCCAGTACCTTTATGAGTCTGTAAATGCACAGGTAGGTTTTCATTGAGTCTGAAGCTTTTCCCACAGTTAAATGTTTTTTTCTCCTGTGTGTGTCAGTAAATGAACAGTTAGGTTCCCCTTCTTGTTGAAACTTTTCCCGCAGTCATCACAGCTAAATGGCTTCTCTCCTGTGTGAATCAGTGTATGTTTAGTTAGGTCTCCTTTATGCTTGAAGCTTTTCCCACAGTCGCCACAGCTAAATGGTTTCTCTCCTGTATGAGCCCATATATGCCTGTTAAGGGTAACCTTCTGTCTGAAACTTTTCCCACAGTCACCACAGCTAAATGGTTTCTCTCCTGTATGAGTCAGTATATGTGCAGTTAGGGTCCCCTTGTGTCTGAAGCTTTTCCCACAGTCACCACAGACAAATGATTTCTCTCCTGTGTGAGTCATCATATGCCTGTTAAGGCTAACCTTCTGTCTGAAGCTTTTCCCGCAGTCACCACAAACAAATGATTTATCTCCTGTGTGAGTCAGTACATGCCTGTTAAGAGAAACCTTGTGATTGAATCTTGTCCCACAGTCACCACAGCTAAATGGTTTCACTCCGGTGTGACTCCGGATATGCTCAGTTAGGTTCTTCTTGTGTCTGAAGCTCTTCCCGCAGGCATCACAGCTAAATGGTTTCACTCCAGTGTGACTCCGGATATGCTCATTTAGGGTCCACTTGCGATTGAAGCTTTTCTCACAGTCACTACAGCTAAAGGCTTTCCCTCCTGTATGAGTCTGTATGTGCCTGTTCAGGGGCCCCTTGCAATTCAATATTTTCCCGGTGTGAGGTTTTTTAGACGTGGTGCTGGGTTTCTTCAGTGGTGGGTTGGGATCCAATGGTCGGCTGATGTCAAGTCCTACTGGATCACTGCTTGCGGCTGATCTGTGGCTGGAGGCATTGTCTTGATTATATGGATCACTGGGATTGTCAAAGTGGGTCACAGCGACAAAAGGTTTGCGATTCACTGGTTTAGAGTCACTCTCTCTGTACTTGACCGTTTGGGGAAGAGTCAAGGACTGAAGTTGATCCTCCTGATCACGTTCACTTTTCACACAAGGAGGAGTGAATATGAACTCTATGATGTCAGCCTGCAGCCCTTGAATCTTCCCTACCTCCTCCTGTTCCTTTTTAATCTGTATGGGAGCTGGGTCCTCCAGGCTGTGGCTCCATTCCTGTTCACAGTGCTGCTGCTCGGGGATAACCTCCTCCTCAGAGACAGCGAGAGAGAACTGGAGGGAGTCTATTCTACATAGTTTTATTTCTGGTGTGATCCGTAGAAGTCTCCGTAGCCGGTCATTCTCCTCTTTAGATCTGGAAATCTCCTCCTGGTACTCGGCGACCACTTTCTCTACAACGTCTAAAATCTCCACTGCAGCCACAGTTAAACGTTCATTAACAAACACAATCAAAGACTGTAATTTTGCCATTTTCAGTGGATTGACATTCGGTAATAAGTTCAGGGACTTTTGTAGTCCCAACAACGAATATTCAAATCAAAACAAACTCGCCTCCACTGAGGTATGCTTGCCTCCAATTCTACTTCCGCGTTGTCGTCTTCTTTTGAGTTTTTCATAGGATGGCGCGCCTCTAGCTGGATTACCGCCACCTACTGTACTGGAGTGTGGGCCAGAGACAAGGAGAAACTAAATCCTACCTGCCAGCCAAGTTGCTCTTAAAAAAGATAACAAAATATTTGAGACTATATCTAATGACGTTCTACTCAATATACTCTTTAAACTCATTTCCTGTATCCCCTTCTCCCTCATACTAGATCTCATCCTCTCTCTTTCCCTCTCATACTGCCCACACTGTAGCAATACATGCTCCACGGTCTCTGTTTCCTGACAATAATCACACTTTCCTGTTGGATGCTTTCCTATCACATTTAATGTCTTATTCAACTGGCTGTGTCCCACCCTTAATCTTGTAAAAATAGCCTCCTCTCTTCTGTCCCCTCCTGCCGTCTTCCCCTCCCCGACTTTCCTCTGTAATTGAAATAAATGCCTTCCCTTATTATCTCTATTCCACTGCTCCTGCCATCTCTGCATCACTGTATATATCAGTCTTTTTGCCTCTACCTTGCTCAATGAAACTTCAACATCAACATCCCCACTACTAAGTGCTTGTTTAGCCAGTACATCTACTGCCTCGTTCCCCTCCACCCCTACACGGGCTGGGACCCAAGTAAATCTTATCTGTATACCCATCTGTTTAATCCTGCCATGGGTTTGTAGCACCTCATGAAGCAGGTCTTGTCTGCTACGTGAGCTAAAGGACTGGAGACTCATTAACACGGCACTTGAATCAGAGCAAATAACTACTCAGTCTTGTTTGACTTCCTCCACCCACTGCAAGGCCAACAGTATGGCCATGAGCTCTGCTGTATATACAGCCAGATGATCTGTAATACGTTTCCTGACTTCCACCCCACATTCCTGCACTACAAATGCTGACCCAACTACTGGAGGCGGGAGTAGCCATGGTGGATTTACAGAAATAGCTACAGTTGGACTAAACTCCCTTCCATACAGTCCCATCTCCTTCGCCTGGGTATTACCCACCCACCCAAAGCTCGTGTTCTGTCTTCGCTCATGTTCCCAGCATGCCTGTAAAATCAATTTCGCAGGATGAGACACCCCATGTAGCTGGATGGAGTTGTAGCAAAGAGTGCGGTTGTAGGTTGGTGCTCGGGCACATCATTCTGTAAACTTAAGCAGATCTTGCAGTGTTTTTTGATACTTCTCTCCAGTCTCAATTTATTATTAATATAGATTATAGGGAATACAAGACACAATGTTTTATGTGTCTGTGAGTGGCAAACTTTCAGCTCAGATGATAAGGCTAGGTCCTATTGCTTCACAAAGGGGCCTGTTTGTTTATCATATAATTAGAGCTTGTAACAGTTAGAATATTTACATTTTTCCATGGCAGTAGTGTGAGTGAATACTGTAAATCATTGACCAATTTGAATAAATTCATTTAAACTTGATGTATGAAAAATGCAACATTTAGGCAAAACACTGACATTCTTCCAACGTAACGTACCATTAATTAACCATCCGAGAGCCTAAATAGTACCTTATTCAATAGGGGTGCCATTGCCTGTATATTAGTCCAAAATATTGTACACATAATTACAGTCACTTTGATATACTCCTTACATATGTGTGTGTGCATTTGAGAAAAAAACATAACAGTATTGACGATGAGGGCTCTTGTTCAAGTAGCACTACTATTTTATATCACTCCGCCTCCTTGAACAGGGAATATAATGGCTGACACTTGGGCTGATAAGCGTACGTTGACTGAGTGGATTCATCAACAACACCGAAACGACTTATTTGTGTTTATTGAGACAAAGCCTTCTCCTGGCTGTTAGAATGAGCCGTTGACCATAAAGTGTTACGAGAATTTCTCAAAAACTCACTGAGGTAATTCATTTATTTACACTACTTTTATTAGCCAAGCCAGGGCAAGTGGCTAGTTCACCACCAGCTAGCTAGCGTAGCATCATCACGTAGCTCGCTATCAAGTTAGCTACCTCCTTACCCCAAACAAAACTAGGTTGGTGCTGTATTTTCGAGTAGGCATTAGCTATTGTATTTAACCAGCTACGTGTACACATTTTGAAACTGTTATAGCCAACAAGAACTAACTAGGTAACTAGCTATCTAGGCATGCAATCTTGTCAGGCCGTGAAATCTTGTTTGTTTTTAGTTGGCCAGCTAGCTAGGTAACGTGAGCTACTAGCTACGTTAGCAAGTTGACGTTACCTAGCTAACTGTAATTCCTACTACTGACAATACTTTCCCCTCCGAATTTAACACCAGCTTTTGTTTTGAACATCAATTGTTCAAACTTTCCAAGGGCAGTGTATGCAACCATTAACGTTAGTTAGCCTTCAATGTATTTTCCATTGTCGGAATTTCACCTCCAGTTTTCGCGGGGAGGGGGGGGGGGGTGGTGGTGGGGGGTCAAGCGTTACCATGGCGTGCAATTTCATGTTGCCAAACAGTGACAAAGGTAAACTAGTTTAGATTTGCATAGCTACATTGGTATCCCAAATGATGAATAAACCGCATCGATAGGCTATTTGAGTGTATATCGATGAAGGTTTTTGTCACCATACTTCGTTAAGTTAGAACTTCTTAGAAGGGGGGGGGGGGGGGGGTAGTTGTTAGTTGTTGCTACTGACAGTTGGCTCCCGCGAACTCGCTGAAGTGGAGGTTATTCTAGCGGTCTACAAGGCTAGAAGTGCCTTTTGTTGGGAAGTTAGCTAGTTACGTAGTCAGCAAGACATCCTTACTCAATCCGCGACCTCCCCAAAAGCAAACCAACACATTTAATAGTGGGTGACTGAATACACCGCACAGGTACGTAATCGATAGGTAAAGTAACGTTATTGATATCGGTAATGTTTATTATTATTATTAGCTATGTCATACAATGGTTTGTAGCTAGCTATGGTGTTTTGGATTATTAACGTTATGCCTCACGTTATGGTTTAGTTTACTGTAATACTTGTCATACTAAGGGTAAGGTCTGTGAATGTTGTTGCTTAGTTGCAGGAACATTCCTCCAAACAAGCCACCGTTTCTGACTGGAGGATGTTTCTGAAAGCAACAAACACCTCTAGAATCATGCACTCTGTCAGTGTCATAACTGTGAAGCTACTTCGGAAACACACCTTGTTTGTTTTGACGTGTGTGTGTCTGGGTTTCCATTAGGAAAATGTGGCGCCATACAACGTGACATTAAATAGTTTAATTTGCTGCCAATTTGAGAAAAGTACCTGACCCATAATGTTATGCATTGTGTGCATAACCCCAGAAATTACATTTAGATTATGGTAGTCATCTTAACAGAACATCCAACTCCTGTAATGAAGGAGACACTAAAACGTTATTTTCAAACATTTGCCTAAATGCAATTCGTGGGAAAACAACACCATTCCAAACAGCACACCTGATGCCAGCGTTAGAAACTTAGGTTGATAATATGACTGGGATTGTGTCTTTTGGCTTCTGGACAATGAAAGAAAGGTGATATGAATACCAACAGGAGAGATGCTGGTTTCAATGGCATATGAGGAAGTCTTTATAAAATAATTGCCTCCATGTTTCTATGGTCAGATTTTTCCTAGGCTGCTTTGAAGCAAGGTAAGACATGCTTCATAATATGAAGTAAAACATTCAGGTTTCAAACAATTAATTCGATTTTCAAAATGCATACTGCCTCCAGTTCACATTGCAAAGTGGTGGGTGATGCGCTGATAGCATGCCTACCGTTGCCTTTGCACTTGAATGGGATGTGCGTCGCAATTGCCAGTTGATAATAAAAATTGTTATTTTTAATCGTGGCCATCAAAACTGTTTTTAACAGGTGACTGCGTTCAGAATTGTTGCCCAATGACTGGTCTTATAAAAGTACATGTTTTACTCCAGCAGCAACGAGCTGAGGGGCTGCGGCTGCAGCAGCAGTTCTAGCACTGTCTGACAAGCGATATTCAGCTCAAAATAGGCTCTGTTTTCTGTGCGCGGGTAAGAAATGATACATTACGACCAATGTTCCCTCTAATTATTTCCAGCACTGAGAAAATTTCACGTCTGCTGAGCGCAAGCTTGAAAGTTGTGAAAATTCTGTGCAACTTCCAGCGCGCGTTTACTCTGAACACTGAGGCTGTTCCCGCTTTAAGTTAGTTTAAACAGTGGCCATGTATGTAGACTACTGTGGCTATTTGATCATAATGTAGGCCTACCAGAGTGGCCTACCATCAAAAACAATGAAGAAAATGCATCCCATAACATCTTAACATGGATATAGCTGTTCTATCATTCAGCCTACAGTAGCAGCCAATGTGTGGTGTTCAATGTAGGTTTACATTCCATTAGACTTTTGAAAAAAAAACATACAGGGCTTGACAATAACCTGCGTTGATTCAATCACAATTGCCACAGTGAAGGGAAACGTTAATAATGTTAACAAGGAAAACTCTAGAACAGTGGTCACCAACCTTTTCTGAGTTAAGATCACTTTCTGAGTCAAAATGCAAACCGAGATCTACCTCTCAGATTTCTTTTTTTATAATAATATATATAATACATGCCTTTAAAAAACGTAAGTCTATGCAACATTAACCTATTAAAAACAGTACTGTAGCAATGAAGTTTGTGCAGTAAGCTATAGGCCCAATACATTATCACTGCATATTAGCTTTGCTTGAATTGCCCTGCCAATGCATTGTTGTTCGGGCCATTTAAAATATATGTACAGCTCTGGAAAAAATTAAGAGACCACTGCACATTTCTCTTAAATCAGCATCTCTACATGTATGATTTCCATTCCAGTGTCTGTTGAATTCCAACACAGGCACACAACGTTCTACTGAATTAGGTGATCACCTGAACCAAATCTTATTTAACGAGGAAAAGTATAAAAACCACTGCTGTGGTCATCACTATCCTCTTGCAATAGGACCAGCTGGATGGCAAAAATAGTTCTAATAGTATCTCAAAAGTAATATTAATCAAAAAATAACTATTGACCATGCCAAAAGAGTTGAAAAGGAAAGTTTTGAGTGAGGAAAAGAAGGTTTCAATTCTGGCTTTACTGGCAGAGGGATACCGTGAGCGTCAGGTTGCTTCCATCCTTAAAATTTCAAAGATGGCGGTTCATAAGAACAAGGTCAAGCAGCAGACATTGGGTACAACAAAGCTCCAGACCGGCAGAGGGCGAAAATGACTCTCTACTGACTGGGATGACCGCCAACTCATTCGAATGTCACTCAACAACCGTAGGATGACATCAAGTGACGTACAAAAAGAATGGCAAACGGCAGCTGGGGTGAAGTGCACGGCGAGGACGGTTCGAAACAGGCTCCTAGGGCTGAAGTCGTGCAAAGCTAGAAAAAAGCCCTTCATCAATGAGAAGCAAAGAAGAGCCAGGCTGAGGTTTGCAAAAGACCAGAAGGATTGGACCATAGAGGACTGGAGTAAGGTCATCTTCTCTGATGAGTCCAATTTTCAGCTTTGCACAACACCTGGTCGTCTAATGGTTAGACAGAGACCTGGAGAGGCCTACAAGCCACAGTGTCTCGCACCAACTGTGAAATTTGGTGGAGGATCGGTGATGATCTGGGGGTGCTTCACCAAGGCTGGAATCGGGCAGATTTGTCTTTGTGAAGGACGCATGAATCAAGCCACGTACAAGGTTGTCCTGGAAGAAAACGTGCTTCCTTTTGCTCTGACATTGTTCCCCAACTCTGAGGATTGGTTTTTCCAGCAGGAAAATGCGCCAATGCCACACAGCCAGGTCAATGAAGGTGTGGATGGAGAACCACCAGATCAAGACCCTGTCATGGCCAGCCCAATCTCCAGACCTGAACCCCATTGAAAACTTCTGGAATGTGATCAAGAGGAAGATGGATGGTCACAAGCCATCAAACAAAGCCGAGCTGCTTGAATTATTGCGCCAGGAGTGGCATAAAGTCACCCAACATCAATGTGAAAGACTGGTGGAGAGCATCCAAGACTCATGAAAGCTGTGATTGGAAATAAGGGTTATTCCACCAAATGTTGATTTCTGAACTCTTCCTAAGTTAAAACATTAGTGTTGTTTAAAAATGAACATGAACTTATTTTCTTTGCATTATTCGAGGTCTGACAACACTGTTATTTTGACCAGTTGTCATTTTCTGCAAATAAATGCTCTAAATGACAATATTTTTTATTTGGAATTTGGGAGAAATGTTGTCAGTTTATAGAATAATACAAAAATGTTATTTTTACCCAAACACATACCTATAAATAGTAAAACCAGAGAAACTGATAATTTTGCAGTGGTCTCTTACTTTTTTCCAGAGCTGTATATATATTTCAACATTTGAGGTAGGCTATATGATGGCACCAGTAATATATCCGTTATTGTATTACTTGTGAGGCACAGCTGAGTGAGCATACATTTTAAATAATTTGCTTTTTATTTTACTGAGCTGATTTTGCCTGCATCTGATGGTCAGTCTCAGCGGAGGTAGAGAGCAGCAGACTGAGGGTCCGCCTCTAAACATCCCTCCACTCTCCCTGAGACTGACCAAAAAGGGACACCGTCTTCCAGCTGATGGCAACTCAAGTCGCACTGCATTATTTCTGCCTCATGCACAAATTCATGTTACTCCTATGGACAAAGAAAGTGAAATATTCCTCGGTATTAAAGAAGACCCAAGCCACTAATAATAACACAAGCCTATAGATACTTTCCTACTCATTCATTACAGTTGCAGTGCTTGTTGTAGTGCTGAGTGGAAATAGGAAGAACGCACATTTTATGGCTTATAAAAGTGTTGAATACAAAGTGTTGACAGTGCTGAGTAAGAACTTAAACATGAACTCATTCATAAAAACAGCAGCTCTTTGCTGTATTCGTTGACAGTCTCTTTCTAGTCATGGTTTTGAAATCTCACAGTATCAACTTTGCTGTAGCTTTCTTTTATGCCTGCTACATTACTACAGACACGGTAATCTGAGCCATCCGATTGGCCAGCGGTAGGCCTATAGTGCATTTGATTTGCTCTCTCGGCCTGCCGGGAAGGCAGAGATTGTACCTTCAGACTCATTAAATGGTTCAAAATGTCAAAAGTTGGCCTATCCGGCGCGTAGGGCAGGTGAATTGGGTGCACCTACCACCAACATCCCGAGACGAAGAAAAAAGAAAATAGGAAAACAAGGCTTTATCAATGGGTTTTTTACAGAAATGTTTGGCGATTGACTATGAATGCATTGGAGGTCGATCGTGATCGACCGGTTGGTAACCACTGCTCTAGAAAGTTGAGTGAAGTTATCTGTGAGCTGATGTTTCTGCGCAGCAGTCCCGGGGCTACTGCGCTCGCGCAGCTTAGAGGGGACATTGATGACGACTAATGAAAATACACACACCCCAATTTTAATTCTGCTAAATGTAACAAAATAACCTAATAGACCGATAAGCACGACTGTGAAATGTATTTCCATCAATTAATAAAAAGCATTATTTTGCACTGGGAGGAAAAAAAATTATCCTGGTCAATTTGGCTGGCAACAATTTTTGTTTATTGGCTTTTCATTTTTTTATCGTCCAAAAGCCGGCAATTACCGGCAAACGGAAACCCTGGTGAGTGTGTGAGTGAATGAGTTGTGTACAGTATGCCAATATGAAAGAGACATACTGTGTGTGTGTGTGTGTACGTGCACATGCTTTTGTCTCCAGTCCAAAGCCGTTCTAGAGTGTTGACTGACGATGCATGTCAACGACCCAACAGGTGCGGAGCCGAGGAGGACATGGCGACAGGGGGCACTCCCTTTGACGACTGCGCAGACGAGCAGGAGCTGCACAACTGGACCGTTACCAACGGCAGCAGCCTAGAAGACCGGCTCAACAACATGGTACAGAGACAATGGATGCGTCCCAAATGGAACCCTATTCCCTATGTAGTGCACTGCAGTACTTTTGACCAGAGAGCCCTATGGGTCCTGGTCGATAGTAGGGCACTACTGGAATAGGGTGACATTTGGGACGCGACTATTGAGAATGGACACTAAAAGGCTGAATCCTAACTGGAGATTTGTGAAAGTAACTAAAATCTTTGTGATTGCGTTAGTTTTTTGTGCGTATATAGCCCCACAGTGGAGGTGTCATAATACCCATAAAACCTAGCGGTCAAACAGGGAAATGGTTCCAATCATTTTCCCACCATTCATCTACACGAAACACAGCCCTTATTTGAAGTGTTTCTAAAATGACCTATGGGGAAAAAATAAATGGTGGAAAAACAATTGGAACCATTTCCCTGTTTGACCGCTAGGTTTTATGGGTATTATGACTCATACTGTGGTACTCTATAGCTCTAGTAAGGATTCAGCCCCTTCACTGACTAGCTCTAGAGTCTGTCAATCTACCTACAATGCTGACCAAAGCGAGACATGGATTTGAAATGGTCTATTACAAGTTTATTGTAATGCGTCCCCTTTGGGGAACCATGATGTGCTTATCAAGCAAGTACAGCATTAAACAGTACATGGTAATACATAAAACACATGCAAGGACCTTCTGTCCTTTTTAAAGCTCCAGGGTGAAGTTTCCTCTAGGTAAATGTCAAGGATCAGCTTCCCTTTCCCCAATCCTAACCTTAACCATTTGTGGGGGGAAATCCAAAACTGACCCATCAGTGTTTAGTGATAACTTCACCCTACACCCCTTTTGAAAGCTTCCTGTCCCCTTTCAGGACTGGGGCATCCAGCAGAAGAAGGCCAACCGCTCGACGGAGAAGAACAGGAAGAAGTTCTCAGCCGGCGGCGTGGCGGAGAGCCGACTGACCAATGACATCTCCCCGGAGTCCACACCTGGCACGGGGCGGAGGAGGACACACACCCCTCACTCCTTCCCCCACGTCAAGTACACCACCCAGATGTCGGTGCCCGACCAGGCCGAGCTGGACCGTCTCCGGCAGAGGATCAACTTCACTGACCTGGACGAGGTGAGAGGGTTCTCCTTAGAGCTTTCTGAACTGTGCGTTTCTTCTTGGAGGATTCATCTGTGATTGTTGGGGTCTGGAGGGGGTCCTAGTTAACATTTTAAAGTCCACCAAAGATGTTGTGGAAGTGTACTGTTCATGTACAAAAATTAAGCTTTTTTTGTTGTCTTTAGTGTGAAAGTTTTCAATTATTAAATGTTCCAAAGAACCTTCTTTCCAGCTTTTTATATCGCAGAGGTTCTGCGGCATTGTTCTGTTTCATAGTACTGTAATTTAGACTAAAAGCCAGGTTATGACATCCCTCGCTCTTTTTTCCCAGAGGAGCGTCGGCAGTGACTCCCAGGGCCGCGTCACAGCAGCCAACAACCAGCGACAGCTGGCGGCGGAAAACAAAAAGCCCTTCAAATTCCTGCCGCTGCACGTCAACACCAACAAGAGTCGGGAGGCCCCCTCCGCCTCGGCCCCCGCAACCCCCTCTGTCGCCGCCACAGCCAAGAAGCAGAGCCCTGGCCTGGGTCTCAGGGACGCGTTCGCCCCCTCCCTGCCCAGCAATGACACCCCTGGGCTAGGTAGTCGGGCTGAGAGAGGGCTTCTTCCCTCTAGGGAGGATGGGAGAGGAGAGCTCAGCATCGACAGTAGCCAGGTAGGTAATGTCTAGGCACTTTGGTTTAGTGAAGGATTAGGGCTTTTCAGGGCTTGTTTTTTTTAATACTGTCTCTATGTAGTCTACGTTTTTGTTTGATCAACCACTTACTGCACAATGCAAATGATTTGAAGTTTGTAGTTGTTTCAATACTTAGTTAAAATAGAACAAACAGGACAATGCATACGATAAAGGTAGTTTAGTTGTCGGCAGATAGAAGAAAAGTGGGTACAGTAACACATTTTGGACAAATCTATATAAATAGCATACCTTGGAACAGCATTTTCACCATTCAAGTCTGTGCTTGCACTGACCTGATCGTCCTGTACTGTCTGCAAACGATCACAAGGGGTGCCGTGCTCTCGCTCCTGTAAAAAAAGAAATGGTAGAACAAGGATGGGAGACTAAGTGAGCAAGATGACGATGAAACCAGTGTGTATTTAGGGCAATTTAAAAATAAGCCACCACCGCAGGTTCCCAAGTGAGTTCTGCCCTCGTTTAGCGCAGTCTGCACTGAGCGGATTGGTATCCGCGCTCTCACACACGATTTCTCGCTCTCTGTCTCGCTCTCTCTATCATTTACACACAGACATGCACGCACACATGCTCTCTCTCTGTTGTCACACTATCTCTCACACACCCTCACACTCTGGTGTCCCGGTCAGGTGGTGAGCAAGCTGGTTCAGATCCGGGAGTACATCGGCAAGGCCAGCTCCATGAGGGATGATCTGGTGGAGAAGAACGACATCCCGGCCAACGTGGAGCGCCTCACCCACCTCATCGCCCACCTCAAGGAGCAGGAGAGGTCCTACCTCCGCTTCCTGCAGAAGATGCTGGTCAGTACAGTACCGCCGGCTTATCACGGCTTTCTCACTGTCTCTCTTTGGCTTTGTGTCTCTGTTTTTCTAATTTCTCCTTCCTCTCTCTTTGGCTTGATCTGTCTGTCTTTTTATATATTTTTCTCTTTCTTTTGGTCTATCTCTCTTTCCATCCTTCTGTCATTTAAGGATGAGAGGGGCTGCTTTCGAGATACATTTTTAGTTTGAATTCACTCTGTGTCTGGTATTGATTAGTAAAAAATAAGCTTGGGCTTTTGCCTGTTAAAGAATGCCTGCTGTCCACTGCTTCTTTCTCACATTGATGTTGATAGTTCAAGGTGTTGTGTTTGGGAACTCTTCACTGCACCCTGGTCATGTATTTTTTATGCCAAGGCGTCTGAAACACGCCGACAGACACAGTCGTGTATCTTGTTCCATTTGGCAGATAAATCTAGGACATGACACACATTGCTTCTGAACTGCTGGATGGCACGTGTCATTTGATCTTGCTGTCAGCGCATCTTGCTGTCAATATTAAATACGATACCCCCTCTGGCATATGTGCGAGTACTTATGACCAGTCCTAACTTTTTCACTCCAACCACTGTTCAAGTATTACATTGAAAAGCGAGGGGGAAGGAAACGGATGAGAAGACCTGGGTTCCCATAGCCACTACACCCTCAGTGTCCATAGCACCATAGTTAGGGCCAAGGAGGGAGACTGCTTGCAGTCTGTGCCTACTATTTTACTGACGCCCCGTCTTCTGTAGGCGAGGGAGGACGAGGAGGACGAGGCGGGAACACTGGACTCTGCCGTGGGTTTAGGCTCATTGCCAGAGAACACCTCCCTCAACATCGAGGTGCGCTCCTCAGACGCCTCCAACGCCACCGTGAGTAGCCCTTCCTCTAGTTCTGACAACCCCTCCTGCTTCTGCTATTTGGATTGGTCACAAACGAGATCATCTAATACGCTGCATAGGGATATGCTTTACCATCTCTACTAGATAGTAAGACACTGCTTCTAGAAGTAGCGCCACCCAAGCAGACCGAGGCTAATCTTATTGCCGTCATCCCTCGCTCTTCCTCTCTCCCTCCATCCCTCCCTCCACCTCCCATTGCCGGTGTAACACCAGGAAATCTTCGCTGTTAGCGTCTGACCCAGTTCTGCTTGTGCTGGCGTTTTTCTTATGTGTGTGTCTAAAACAGGGCCGCGTTGCAGGCCGCAGTGACCAGAAGGAGGAGCTGGAGAACTTGAGGAAGCAGCACGAGCTCCTGAAGAAGATGCTGGAGCAGCAGGAGCAGCTCAGGGCTCTACAGGGCCGCCAGGCAGCACTACTGACCCTGCAGCACAGCTCCCAGCACGCCTCCCACACCGTGGCTGACACCGGTGAGACACGGACCACATAGAGAGAGCACACACACTCGCATAGTGTAAACACACACACACACACACACAGCGCACATGCAGAGCAGGTACCTACACACACGTAACCTTTTTTCATTTGGTGTGTGTGTTGTTCCAGTGCCAACGGAGACCACAGGCAGTGTGTCAGGGCTGAGCATCACCTCAGAGCTGAACGATGAGCTGAACGACCTCATTCAGCGCTTCCACAACCAGCTGCACGACTCCCAGGTACCAGCAACATACAGTACTGGGTCGTATTAATTAGGGCACACCATAGCCAAAAGTATTAGCATTTTCTCCTGTCTGGTGCCTAATGAATACAACCCTGGCAAACATAAGGTAGCACTTTACAGCACGGGCTAAAGTTGCAATAACATGGTATTGTTACCCCTCTATTACATACGTGGTGTATAACCCTATAACAAGAATCATTCCATTTAAATGAAGAGATAACTGGGCAAAATGAAGTCTCCATGTTAAGTAAATAGAACTTGTTACCATGTTATTACCACTTTATCCCTTGTGATAATGTGAAGTGCTACCCATCAAAGTAATAAATGATGAGTTGAATGTTTGTGTTTATGCACCTACTAACATCCTGTGTGCCTTTCCTTCCTCAGACCAAGGCAGTAGTCCCAGACAACCGCAGACAAGCCGCGAGCCTCTCCCTCTCTCGGGAAGTCTGCCGCTCCCGCTCCTCCCAGCCTTCCCCTCCTCCCCGCTCTGTCTCCTCCTCCTTCCTCCATCCCACCCCGCTCACCTCCCTGACCTCCATCACCCCCACGTCGGCCTCGGCGGCGAGCGCCAAGCTGACCAAGCTGCAGGAGCTGCAGGACAAGAAGCAGACCATGGACAAGATCCTGCAGGAGTTGCACTCGCTCCGCGACCAGACCCTCAACAACAACTCCTGTAAGTTATGGTTCGTCTCTGTAACTGACTAGGAGTAGGATAACACCGTCAGGGATGGAGGCCCGGAGGGGTCAGTGATATTTTTAGATTTTTCAGAGATTATTGCTTATTTGAACACCTGCAAAGCTGTTTCCTGCAATATAGAGCATTCAATGATAACAAACTTTTTAGATGTGTTTTTTATTGTGTTTACATAGTGGCGCAGCTCCCATCTTACATTCTTTGGGGAGAAACGTGTTTTATATGATAGAAGCTTGTAAGTTTGCAGCTGTGCATGTGTGAGTGACGCGTGTATGTTGTTCCCTCAGGTCGCGGCGCAGTTGTGTCTGTGTCCTCTCAGCGTAGCCTGGCTCTGGGCGCGGGCCCCTCCTCAGACCGCCCCTCTGCCCTGTACCGGGAGCCCAACGGGGCCTCAGCCATGAGACGGGACCCCTCCACCTACATCCCCTCCACACACCCCCAGCATGAGGACGCCCCAGCAGACAAACTCCGGTACTAAACTCCCAACTATTATTAAGATCAGTGCACATCACACCACGGTTGTATTCATAAGGCACCAAATGGAAGAAAACTGACTGAAACGCAGAGGAACTACCTGGACTTGCCCAAATCAAATTTTATTGGTCGCATACACATATTTAGCAATGTTATTGCGGGTGTAGCGAAATGCTTGTGTTCAACAGTGCAGTAGTATCTAACAATTCACACAATAATAATGGAATTAAGAAATGTATATAAATATTAGGACGAGCAATGTCTGAGTCCGGAGTATATGTATGTGATGGGATGTATAGACATTATGGACAGTATGTGGATAGAATATTTAGTATATCTGTAGGATTGAATAGTATTTATACAGCAATAGTTGAATAGGATGGCATTGACTAGAATACAGTATATACATATGAAATGAGTAAAACAGTATGTAAACATGATTCAAGTGACCAGTGTTCCATGTCTATTGGGACTACCTGGACTTCTGCCCTAATGAATACAACCCAGTGGTGCCCTAATGAATACAACCCAGTGGTGCCCTAATGAATACAACCCAGTGGTGCCCTAATGAATACAACCCAGTGGTGCCCTAATGAATACAACCCAGTGGTGCCCTAATGAATACAACCCAGTGGTGCCCTAATGAATACAACCCAGTGGTGCCCTAATGAATACAACCCAGTGGTGCCCTAATGAATACAACCCAGTGGTGCCCTAATGAATACAACCCAGTGGTGCCCTAATGAATACAACCCAGTGGCGATGAAGCAAAGGAGACTAGTAGAGGGAACCAGCTCAGACTATTAGCATGCACCCTTTCTATCACTCTGATACCGGCAGCTGAAGATCCATACTGTACTGTTCCTTCAGACAAACTCTATCATCCATCACTCTTATCCCTCTTATTCATTCATCAGTCTGAGCAACAATGGATCCAAGGTGTTTTAATGTTTAATTACCATATGTAAGGGTTCGTGCACAGAGGGGATTGTCGGGAAAGAGATGGCTGCTTGAGGAAGCTCCCATTTATTAACATTTCAACATTTCAATCATCTCGCTCTCGTAATGTCTGTCTGTCTTGCTCTCGTTCTGTCTCTCGTACCACTCTCGGTTCCACTTTTACTTTTGCGCGCTACCTGTCTCACTCTTTTCCGGCCTCCAGCTTTTCCTGCTGGAGCCCGCCGCTTAAAGGTGGGGGGCGCGGACCGGTCATAGAGCCCATAGAGTTAAAGTTGGTGGACTGTAACCTGTAAAATCCATAGATTTAGGAGGTCTTCTAGTGGCCGTTAGCTGTAAAAATCCATAGATTAGCCGCACCGTTATATAAGCCGCAGGGTCGAAAAATTGGAAAAAAGGCGCGGCTTATAGTCCGAAAATTACGGTAGTCAAGTGTCTCTCCTTCATTGAATCAGTTGTCCATGTAGCAACCATAGTCTCTTTCCCCATTCCATTTCTCCCCATTCATTCCCCCACACTGTTTCTGAAATGTGACTCAAAGGGAATAGACTGCTTGCAGCTCACTTGAGGTGCTGTAAATTCTTGGGGGTGGGGGGTTGTGAAGAGTGCACACTTTGGGCAGAAGGCCAATCCAATGCTTTTAAGTCTTTGGACATTTTAAAACGGAATCAGGCCTAAGTCTCTCTCTCCCCCCCCCACCACCACAGGAAGCTGAAGGAGGTGCACAAGCGTTTGAACGAGCTGCGTGAGCTGGTGCAGTACTACGAGCAGACATCGGACATGATGGTGGACACGGTCAACGAGAACGTGAAGGAGGAAGAGGAAGAGGAGGAGGAGACTGAGGAGGACGGCTCCATGCTGGAGACCATGTTCGACTCGGAGCAGGAGAACCGCCGGCCCCCCATCACCAACATCAGGTACTTGAGGGACACGGACAGATTAGGGTGACGTCGTTATTATTCCGCATTAGAGCTGTTTATAAGTGGGCCTTGTCCAATTCTGATACTAAGCATCACAGACCTAGGATTCGAACTGGCAACCACTGACAGTAACTGTTAGTTTCAAACCAAGCATATAATCTGTTCCCTTCATGTGCCCCACATTACCAGGTCTTTATTGTAAAATATAGCTTGTTCTCAATGACTTGCCTGGCTAAGAAATATTATAAAGGTTTAGATAATTACAATTCCCAAGGGCAAATCACGCCGGAGAGTGAAATTGAGACTTGACCCTCTTCTCCATCTCTCTTTCCCCTGGTCAGAAACCCACAGCGTTCTGGGAACTGGACAGAAATGAACAGTCTGACCAACGCCCGAGGAGGAGGCAGCGCCAACAACCGCGCTGACGGGAGACTCAACACCGAGTGTGAGATCAACAACCGCTCTGCAGCAACAAACCTCCGCAGCCTCAACATCCCCTCAGCCATAGGTAGCACGACACACATACGCACATTACATGCTGTACACCCCCATGCTGTTCACACACACAACCCACTCATCTCACTAACCCTCATGGTCTCTGCCTCCAACAGAGTGCCAGTACAACCGCCCCTACAACCAGGTCAAGGACGACGATGATGAAGAAGACGATGCCCTGGAGGATGAAGAGGGGGCGCAGGGGGCCGGGGGCCGGGACAGCGAGGGCTCGGGGTCGAGCAGGAGGAGCAGCCTGGGGAACGAGGACGCAGACTTCGCCCACAAAGTCCACCGGCTGCAGACGGCCAAGCAGAAACTACGGCAGCTCCAGGAGCTGGTGGCCATGGTGCAGGTGAGAGGACTGACTAGAAACAGAGAAACATAGCATATGAAAGATATAGAATAGAGTCTGAAATAAATTGTAGGCAACAAAGTGCAAGTCTGTTGTCTGAAGAAGGCACTGTGCCCTGACACATTGGTGTTATACCCATTAAATCATTGGGAGTAAACAGTGCTGTGAGGAATTTTGGCCCACTTTTGCATGCGGAACTGCTTTAACTCAGAGATATTTGTGGGTTTGCAAGCATGAACTGCTCGTTTCAAGTCCTGCCACAACATTTCAATTGGGATTAGGTCTGGACTTTTGCTAGGCCATTCCAAAACGTCAAATGTGTTGCTTTTTAGCCATTCATGTAGATTTGATTGTATTTTGGATCATTGTTTTGCTTCCTGACCGAGCTGCGCTTCAGCTCACAGACCAATGGCCTGACAATTCTCTGATACAGAGCAGAATTCATGGTTCCTTCTATTAAGGCAAGTCGTCCAGGTCCTGAGGCAGCAAAGCATCCCCAAACCATCACACTACCACCACCATGCTTGACCGTTGGTATGAGGTTCTTACTGTGGAATGCAGTGTTTGGTTTTCGCCAGACATAATTGGACCCATCTCGTCCAAAAGGTTGACTCAAGTTTGCCAAAAAGCACCTGGATGATCATCAAGACTCTTGGAAGAATGTTCTATGGACAGATGAGTCAAAATTATAACTTTTTGGATGACATGGGTCCCATTTATGTCTGGCGAAAACCAAACACTGCATTCCACAGTAAGAACCTTATATCAACAGTCGAGTGTGTTGGTATTGTGATGGTTTGGGGATGCTTTGCTGCCTCAGGACCTGGACGACTTGCCTTAATAGAAGGAACCATGAATTCTGCTCTGTATCAGAGAATTCTACAGGAGAATGTCAGACTATCTGTCTATGAACTGAAGCGCAGATCGGTCATGCAGCAAGACTGATCCAAAATAAACAATCAAGTCTACATGAAAATGGGTAAAAAGTTAAACATTTGAAGTTTTGGAATGGCCTAGTCAAAGTACAAACATAATCCCAATTCAGTTGTTGTAGGACTTGAAACCAGCAGTTCATGCTTGAAAACCCACAAATGTAGCTGAGTTAAAGCAGTTCTGCATGGAAGAGTGGGCCAAAATTCCTCCACAGCGACGTGAGAGACTGATCAATAACTACAGGAAGTATTTGGTTGGAGTCATTGCAGCAGAAGGCGGCACAACCAGTCACTGAGTGCAAGGGGGGCAATTACTCTTTTTTTTCCCACACAGGAGCATTGGGTGTTGCATAACTTTCTTTATGAAATAAGTATGTAATTGTTGTTATTTGTTCACTCCGGTTCCCTTTATCTAATATTAGGTTTTGGTTGAAGATCTGATATAATTCAGTATAAAAAATATGCAAAAGCAAAGACGATTTAGAAAGGAGGCAAGTACTTTCTCACAGCATTGTATATAGAGCGTGCAAGTAGAAACATATCAACACACGTATAAGCAAATAATACAAAATAGAACACATGGTATAGAATGTAAAATGACCATGGTGCAGCTGAGAGGTCTAGACAGTTCAGAGTGGAAGAGGATCCTTTACAGTCCAAGAAAGTAAAGAGCTGGAATTTGAGTCATTTGAAGATGGGTGATGGCCTTATGGAATAGTAACCATGTGACTTCCTGTCTCCCAGAGTGATGATACAGACGCCACCACGGCCAACGAGGACGAGGGTCACCACCAGCAGCCCAACAACACCAGAGGTGCTGCTGCTGCCTCCTCCTCCTCCGCAGCCAAGAGCCCCAGAGACCTCACCCTCACAGACAAGGCCAGGTAGGAGACTCCCGCACGGAGCACTAACACATACACAGTAGAGGCCGTTGAACCATCATGTGTGTATGAACGTTCCTGCGTCTATTTATATATTGAGTGAGTGCATTCCTTTCATTTAAGCATGTGTGAATTACACAGCTGGTGATTCTGTTTGTGAATCTAAAATATGTTGTGTGTGTGTCTCAGGGAGAAGCTGTACGAGGAGAAGCTTCGTCAGCAGCAGCAGGAGTTGCAGCAGCTCCACGAGGAGCGCCAGCGGCTGATGGAGATCCAGGACAAAATCCAGGACCTACAGTGGGCCTGCCCCGACCTGCAGGTAACACACTGAGCACACATCGCCCTATTTCCTGATTGATTGTTTTGGTGTCAGAACTTCTTTCTGAACTTCTTCCTGGACTCTTTTTTTTAACCGTAGTGCCCTATATTGGGAATAGGGTGTTGAGACAGTCACTCTCTCACTCTCTATCACCTCCTCTCTCCTATCATTCTCTCTCTCTCATTCTACCTCTCCCTCCGCTCTTCTCCTCTCCAGTCGTCAGTGTCCAGCAGCACAGTGAGCCAGCAGGCCCTGATGAGGAAGCTCCCGGCTGCAACCTCCACCCCGGCCCCTCCCCCTGCGCCGGCTGCAGCCCCCAAAGCCAACGCTTCTCCTGCCGCCGCCGTGCTCAAACCCACAGCCCAGGCCGCTGCTAACGCCTCTGTCACCGACAACGAGGTGGGTTCTTTATTTTGATTTCATTGACAGGTTCACAAAACATCAAGGCTAGTACAAACTTAAAGTGATGGCTCGTGAAACACTTGTATCACCCGCTCAGTGCAAGGCTTTTCCTGAGAGTTAACTGGTAAGGGTTAGCGTGACCGAGTTAGCCATGGCTAGATGTCAGGGAGCTCTTATAGGAGTGTGTGGGTTATCATGCAGATGTAACCATGAAAATGACTCCGCTCATTTACCTTCATGGTTCCCAAGCAGCTGTGGTGTGAGATGCGGCGCCACCAGATCCTGCGGGAGGAACTGCGCCAGCGGAGGAAGCACCTGGAGTCCCTGATGGCCGAGCACCAGAGGAGGAGCGGCCTCAGCGACTCCCCCTACAGGATGGAGGACCCAGATGGACACGCCGCCGCCTCGCAGCCACTCAGCAGGGACGAGAGGTGAGAAAAGCGGTAGATTATTCACAAAGGCCCCCAAATCTACATCGGGGGTCAATTCTATGATGTGAACCGTCCTGAATGTTGCAGATAGAAATAGAATGATGCTTTTAGCCATCGTATGCTCTCATGTCTACATGAAGTGCCTAGGGGGATCGGTTTAGTCTCTGAGTGGGGCCTTAAACGACTTGTTACCCTCCTCAGGACCATGGCCACGTGGGGCGGCTCCACCACCTGTCAGCTGGATGAGGACGGCTACCCCTCTGAGATGGGCGCTGAGGAAGAAGAAGAGGAGGATGAAGAAGAGGAGGACGGAGCAGAGTCCAGCTCCAGTGATGACCTGCATCTCTACTCCACTAGGAAGCAGCGATCCTACAGCAACAGGAAGACACTGGGCAGGTCTGTGAAAGATGTATACAAGGATACCCATTGTTTTTGTATTAATTTTCGATTCAGGATAAAGATACAGGGCACAGTACTCTTAACCTCTAAAAGTCTAAGCCGTTGGGGTGGGAGGGAACAAGCTACATATGGAATTGTTTTAAGATGGTCAGACCATTTAGCTGTTTGATATAGAATTGTAGGACCCCTTTAGCTTTAAAAAAAATATATATATATATAAACTACCAGTCAAAAGCTTGGACACACCTACTCATTCAAGGGTTTTTCTTTATTTTTACCATTTTTGACATTGAAGAATAATAGTGAAGACAAACTGAAATAACACATGGAATCGTAGTAACCAAAAAAGTGTTAAACATTCAAAATATTGAACAAGAACAGCAAAGAGAAATGACAGTCCATCATTACTTTAAGACATGAAGGTCAGTCAATACTGAACATTTCCAGAACTTTGAAAGTTTCTTCAAGTGCAGTTGCAAAAACCATCAAGCGCTATGATGAAATTGGCTCTCATGAGGACCGCCACAGGAATGGAAGACCCAGAGTTACCTCTGCTGCGGAGGATAAGTTCATTAGAGTTACCAGCCTCTGAAATTGCAGGCCAAATAAATGCTTCAGAGTTCAAGTAACAGACACATCTCAACATCAACTGTTCAGAGGGGACAGTGTGAATCAGTAATTCATGGTCGAATTGCTGCAAAGAAACCACTACTAAAGGACACCAATAAGAAGAAGAGACCTGCTTGGGCCAAGAAACATGAGCAATGGACATTAGACCGGTAGAAAATTGTCCTTTGGCCTGTAGTCGAAATTTTAGATTTTTGGTTCAAACCGCCGTGTCTTTGTGAGAACCGATGTGGGTGAACGGATGTGTAGTTCCCACCGTAAAGCATGGAGGAGGTGGTGTTATGGTGTGTGGGTGCTTTGCTGGTGACACTGTCAGTGATTTATTTAGTATTCAAGGCACACTTAACCAGCATAGCTACCACAGCATTATGCAGTGATACGCCATCCCATCTGGTTTGGGCTTAGTGGGACTATAATTTGTTTTTCAACAGGACAATGACCCAACACACCTCCAGGCTGTGTAAGGGCTATTTGACCAAGAAGGAGAGTGATGGAGTGCCGCATCAGATGACCTGGCCTCCACAATCCCCCGACCTCAACCCAATTGAGATGGTTTGGGATGAGTCGGACGGCAGAGTGAAGGAAAAGCAGCCAACAAGTGATCAGCATATGTGGGAACTCCTTCAAGACTGTTGGAAAAGCATACCAAGTGAAGCTGGTTGAGAAAATGCCAAATGTGCAAAGCTGTTATCAAGGCAAACGGTGCCTATTTGAAGAATCGCAAATATAAAATATATTTTGATTTGTTTAGCACTTATTTGGTTACTACATGATTCCATATGTTATTTCATAGTTTTGATGACTTCACTATTATTCTACAATGTAAAAATAAAGAAAAACCCTTGAATGAGTAGGTGTGTCCGAACTTTTGACTGGTACTGTATATGTATTAGGAGATTTAAGAAAGCTCAGGAAATATTTTTGTTTTTTTGTACATATTTAACCCCTTATTTTTGTTGGCACTAAACTACCTCCATACTTCTAGTCGTTTGTATGGATTACTTTCAGACGAGCCCCGTGACACTTGTAGAGCAAAACGGAGAACACCATCGTGTTCGTGACAGTCTACTCTTTCCATAGAGTTGTAGTCGTTTTGTAGGCCAAACTGTTCCGACGCTACAGACGTTTTAGTGATGTCGGGATGTCTCATGGTCTGACACCGCTATAGCTCAGCCACCTTCCACCACAGATGCGGAAAGCCGACATTAGTGTAGGCGGTGGATTGAGACGCATCCTATTTAAAAAAAATGATATCTCTATCTTAAACTGACGGATTTTGATGGGGATGTTTTTTATCAAGGGTTCGTTAATATACTCTTAAGGATGAATCAATTGTAGTTATGAGGGGTTAGGGTTAACCTTAACCCAACTCCAGTCCTAGAGAGAAACTGGGTGTGCAGGCTTTTGATCCACCCCATAGGATTCTATTGATGTATGCTAACATACAGTATTCTACTGCCATTTACTTTATGTTCGTATTCTTATTTTTTACAATTTCCTATTGATGCATTGTCGAAGGAACTTGCAAGTAAACACTTCGTTGGACAATGTATACCATACGTAGCCCGTACATGAGAATAATAAAACTTGAATCCTGGCATCATGAAAGTTCTGGGGAAAAATTGGGTCATACATTCCCAGCAGCACCCACAACTCGTTGGACACCCAATAATACAAATATATCACTCTCCCCCTTCGTTCTCTTTCTCCAGCAAAGTTCTGAAGCCGCCCCAACAATTCGCATCCGAAGCTAGTGGCCGACCCTCTCCCCGTTCTCGAGCCAGAGCCAAACAACAAAAACAGTCCCAAGCCCACGGCGGCGTCAACATCGGGGGTGCGAGGCGCCAGGAGAACCTGCGCTGGGCAGCTGAGCTGTCCTTCCAGGAGGGTTCTGGCACTGGGTCTGGGTTGGCATCACGCCACTGGCAGGAGCAGGTGGGCACACTACAGAGGCAGCTGGACTTTAGCACCAGCATGTGTCAGACCCTACTGCAGGACCAGCAGGTTGGTATAGCAGTTGGCACACACTTCAGTCACCTCACACTAATATGTAGGCTTATCTCAAGCATTTGACATGGTTGAGGCGTGCCTGATTTAGCTTGTCAGGTATGAGGCCAGCTGGCATGAGGAGTTTGGTTCCATTGTACCTGACAAGCTAAGCTATATCAAGGGAACCTCACATGTCAACTTTTTGGAATGTATTGATTTTAACTTGTCTGGTATGAGGGGTGTACATGCTTTTTGGATTATTCCATTGTTTTCATTGTACCGTCCAAGCTAAAAAAAAATTTAAGTGCCCAAGTATTTCAAATATGGAATACATATCCGAACCAGGTCTGAATTCACCTTACCAAATGAGGTACTTGAGGTTAATTTAGCTTGCCTGGCATGAGGAGTTTGTTTCCATTTTACATGACCAGCTAATCCAAATAAAGTACACCAAGTATTTCAAATATTCGGAATATTATGTATTCGACCCTGGTCTGTTTCACCCAACCTACAGAAAAGGTAGCAGCAACCTAAGGCACACCGCCAAAGAATGTCTGTCATTTCTGCTCGCTTTCCTTACTGTTCAATGTCTATTACATTTCACTAAGGTTGAAAAAGTAAGTTAATAAAGAAAATGTATTACTCACGCTAGTCTTGTGTTAAGAGGTGCCTAAATGGATTTTCTCCACATAGTCATTGATATAGCATGGCGGCGGTGACACTTATTAACCTATAGGGCATGGTGTTGAGTTTATTCAGGGTGCGTCGTCCTGATGGAAATGCCAACGCTGCTATTCCTTTATAGAAATCAGCCGTTGGCTAGAGTTCCTATTTGACTGGGTGTCAGAACCTGTATGGGAAACCAACTGACTGACAGGTTCATGAATACCATTTTCTCTCCCCCCCCCCCCCCCCCCCCCCCCCTTTCTCCTTCCCTTCTCTCTCTCTCTATCTGTCTTTCAAACTCTTTCTTTCTCTATACACACTCTTTCTCCATCTCTTCCTCTCCCTGTCTCTCACTCTTTCCTTGTCACTACCCCCCCCCATCCATCCAGACGTTGTCCTACATGCTCCAGACCCTGCTGACAGGACCGTACAGCGCGCTGCCCAACAACCTGTCCTCCCCCCAGGTCCACCTGGTCATGCACCAGCTCAGCCAGTGTTACACACAGCTGGCCTGGCAGCAGAACAACGTCGAAAGGTAGAACGAACACAGACAGACAAAACAACAACTAGAAATGTGTATTCTATTGGTTTATTTACGTTCTAGTCATTTAGCAGACTTACAGTAGTGAGTGCATACTTTTTCGTACTGGTCCTCCATGGGAATCGAACCCACAACTCTGGCGTTGCAAGCGCGTTGCTCTACCAACTGACCCACACGGGACCCGTTTGACACAGATAATGTACGACAAACATTGCACCATATTTTAGCTATATACTGTAGTTAATTTCCATCTGAAATCCCCAGATACTGTATTAGTTTACTAATATGTTAATGTCACCGGCTCAATGTACTGCATGAGGGAAATGATCAGTGTCTGTTTTCAAGACCTTACAATTCAGTTTATGAACATGTATTCATTGCAGCTTTCGTTCGTTAGGTTCACACGCATGTCTACATTAGTGTATCGTTCTAAGTGCATAGTTATTTAACCATGATTGACTATCTGTAGTACACTGTATGTGAAAATGATATCCGGTTTAAACATGACTTGTGAATACATGAATGTGAATATTATTACGTTTTAACGCTGACTTGCCTGTATTTGTCCCGTTTGTCCCCAGACTGAAACTGGTGCTGAGCGACCTGCTCCGTCAACAACAACAACAACAACAACAACAACAGCCCTCGTCGTCGTCAGGTCAACAGGCCCAGAACCAGGGTTCCACGTCCCGGGACTCCGGCAGTGGCTGTCCCCCCCTCTCCCCCACCAGCCTCTTTCTCCCCTTCACCTCCTCCATGCCCCCCTCTGTCAACCAGACCCTCAACCTGCCCCCTGGCCTGGCCGGATTCTCGCCCCTCTCCTCCGGTACGACTTCCAACACCCCTTTTATAAATGCACCTTCCATCCAATCTTTATAGATCCTTCCTCCTTGATGTTATGACATACAGTTGCAGTCGGAAGTTTACATACACTTAGGTTGGAGGCATTAAAACTCGTTTTTCAACAACTCCACAAATTTCTTGTTAACAAACTATAGTTTTGGCAAGTTGGTTAGGACATCTGCTTTGTGCATGACACGAGTAATTCTTCCAACGATTGTTAACAGACAGATTATTTCACTTATAATTCACTATCACAATTCCAGTGGGTCAGAAGTTTACATACACTAAGTTGACTGTGCCTTTAAACAGCTTGGAAAATTCCAGAAAATGATGTCTTGGCTTTAGAAGCTTCTGATAGGCTAATTGACATCATTTGAGTCAATTGGAGGTGTACCTGTGAATGTATTTCAAGGCCTACCTTCAAACTCATTGCCTATTTGCTTGACATCATGGGAAAATCAAAAGAAATCAGCCAAGACCTCAGAAAAAATATTGTAGACCTCCACAAGTCTGGTTCATCATTGGGAGCAATTTCCAAACGCCTGAAGGTACCACGTCCATCTGTACAAACAATAGTACGCAAGTATAAACACCATGGGACCACGGAGCCGTAATACCGCTCAGGAAGGAGACGCGTTCTGTCTCCTAGAGATGAACATACTTTGGTGCGAAAAGTGCAAATAAATCCCAGAACAACAGCAAAGGACCTTGTGAAGATGCTGGAGTAAACAGGTAACAGTAAAACGAGTCCTATATCGACATAACCTGAAAGGCCGCTCAGCAAGGAAGAAGCCACTGCTCCAAAACCACCACAAAAAAGCCAGACTACGGTTTGCAACTGCACATGGGGACAAAGATTGTACTTTTTGGAGAAATGTCCTCTGGTCTGATGAAACAAAAATAGAACTGTTTGGCCATAATGACCATCGTTATGTTTGGAGGAAAAAGGGGGTGGCTTGCAAGCCGAAGAACACCATCCCAACCGTGAAGCATGGGGGTGGCAGCATCATTCTATGGGGGTGCTTTGCTGCAGGAGGGACTGGTGCACTTCACAAAATAGATGGCGGCATGAGGAAGGAAAATTATGTGGATATATTGAAGCAACATCTCAAGACATCAGTCGGGAAGTTAAAGCTTAGTCGCAAAGGGGTCTTCCACAATGACCCCAAGCATACTTCCAAAGTTGTGGCAAAACGGCTTAAGGACAACAAAGTCAAGGTATTGGAGTGGCCATCACAAAGCCCTGACCTCAATCCTATAGAACATTTGTGGGCAGAACTGAAAAAGCATGTGCGAGCAAGGAGGCCTAAATACCTGACTCCGTTACACCAGCTCTGTCAGGAGGAATGGGCCAAAATTCACCCAACTTATTGTGGGAAGCTTGTGGAAGGCTACCTGAAACATTTGACCCAAGTTAAACAATTTAAAGGCAATGCTACCAAATACTAATTGAGTGTATGTAAACTTCTGACCCACTGGGAATGTGATGAAAGAAATAAAAGCTGATATAAATAATTATCTCTACTATTATTCTGACATTTCACTTTCTTAAAATAAAGTGGTGATCCTAACTGACCTAAGACAGGGAATTTTTACTATGATTAAATGTCAGGAATTGTGAAACTGAGTTTAAATGTATTTGGCTAAGGTTGATATAAACTTCGACTTCAACTGTATCTCTATTGTATGAGTGAAAGTTCTCAAAGGAATGAAACATCCAAGAATGTGCACAGAGTATACCAAACATTAGGAACAACTTCCTAATATTGAGTTGCACCCCACCCCGTTTTGCCCTCAGAACAGCCTCAATTCATCGGGGCATGGACTCTACAAGGTGTCAAGTGTTCCACAGGAATGCTAGCCCATGTTGACTCCAATGCTTCCCACAGTTGTGTCAAGTTGGCTGGATGTCTTTTTGGGTGGTGGACCATTTTGATAAACATGGGAAACTGTTGAGCGTGGAAAACCCAGCGGTGATGCAGTTCTTGACACAAACCGGTGTGCCTGGCACCTACTACCATACCCCGTTCAACAGCACTTACATTTGTTGTCTTGTCCATTCATCCTCTGAATGGAACACATACAAAATCGATGTCTCAAGGCTTCAAAATCCTTCTTTAACCTGTCCTCATAGCTTTAACCTGGATTCACCTGATCAGTCTATGTCATGGAAAGAGCAGGAGTTCTTAATGTTTTGTATACTCAGTGTATAGTTAGTGTTCAAATAATGTCTCTTTCACTCATCACCTTGGACCAGTTCACTTCAGAGGTTCGCTTTGGAAATTGAGAAGCTCTGGCACATATGAGCGTGATTGAGGACTAGAGGGCATACTGGAATAGTAGGAAATTCCTGATTTGATAAGTTTGTAACCAAGTTGTTGTGTTTCCAGATCACAATATACGCAGGTTGACGCTTGTCATCAGTCTTGTCCTGGAGGCAGAACTGAGCGATTTCCCCTTAAGTTACCCAGCTGCAAAAAAAAAAAAAAAGGTCTATATGGTAAAACTCATTAACATAAAATGAGCTTTTTGGTCTTAATTTAAGGTTAGGATTAGGGTTAGGTTTAAAATCAGATTTGATGACTGTGGCTGTGCCAGCTAGTGACCACTCTGCAGAGCTGCCTCCAGAACAAGATTCATGACGGAAAAAACGCTAACCTGCACAATATACCTCAATATGTGTGCTCACATCACTTATTTTTCTCCTACACAGGGTTTAACTTCAACCCCCTGTTCCCTTCTGCTATGGGTGAGTTCCCTCACAGTGCTGGTAGCCAGGCCAGCCCAGACAACCAACAGCAGCTGGATCCCAACACCTCAGTCAAGACAGAGTACTTGAGCTTCCCCCCGCCCCTGCAACGCTCCCCACTCAACACTGTAGACAAAAGGTGTGTGTTAGTGATGGGAGAAAAAATCGATAGTTGCATATTGTGATATCATTTTTGGACGATATTGTATCGATATTATCAACGTTTGACTCCCAAGTATCGGTTTATAAAATCGATGTAGGTAGCGTTAGCTAGCGCTAATCGGCTGTACCTGTGCCAAAACTCCAATATTTTTCATCCTATAGCATGTTCTTCATCTTTTTAAATAGTGAGCCAATGTGTTTTCAGCACTTTCCCTGACTGATCAAAACTAGTTTTCTCATGCTCTGTCTCTCTGCAGCAGACTTATAGTGAGCTATATGTTTGGAACATCAAATCACAATAAAATCTTCGCAATACATGTAGAATCGTGCGAGTCGCAATACATATCGTATTGGCACCGAAGTATCGTGATAATATCGTATCGTGATGTCCCTGGCAATTCCCAGCCCTAGTGTGTGTGTGTGCGAAGAATGAAAGGCACACTTCATTACTACTTAGTTCTCTATTACTCACACATACAAATTTCTTCCTTCATTAGTCCAACCGTCGTTCTGTCTGTATCCGTCCCACCAGGCCCCAGAGGCAGAATGAAGGAAGCAGCAGTCGTGGCCATGAATCTGGCTGGCTCAACGTCTCCCAGCCTCCAGCTCCTATCACCGAATCCCCCTCCCCTTTACCCCATAGTGGGGCTAACAACACCCGGCCCCAGGCCTTCGACCAGGCCTCCCAGGAGAGCTTTAGCAGCATGCCGGACCCCGCTGACCCCACCACCGTCACCAAGACCTTCAGGGCAGGACGCAAGGCCTCTGCCCAGGCCAGCCTGGCCTCCCGCGACAAGACGCCCAACTCCAAGAGGAGGACCCGGCGGGCCAAGGGACACCACAAGAACACGGGTACGGGGACAGGGGATACAGTGTAGGGACATGTAGTGATTTATATTGAGCGCTTTTTCTCTAGTACTTGACATTTCCTTCCTCTCCGGCAGCTCAGTTAGGAAGGCCGGGAGGTAACTCGCTCCAACCACCACCACTGTGTAGCACCTGCCTGTTTATATATTTAAAACATCATAAGAATAGAGATTTGAGGACCTCCAAATATTTAGGAGACTCAAGCTGAAACAGTATTGCTCAAGGCTACAATCTATCCAAAAGACAAATGCACGAATAGGGTCTTTTTTTAAACATACGATGTGTGTAAATGTTTATTTGCGTATCTCACACTTTCTCCCCTCTATTCGTTTTGAATGTCTACTTTCTCTTTCCTTGCTTGTGTATTCCCAGGAGTGGAGAGTGACAGCGTGTCTAGCACGGCCGACTTTGTCCAGGAGAGGGCGCCGCAGCCCCATCGCCAGCGGGACCAAAACCAGAACCAGAGCCTGCTGGACAAACTGACCCAGGAGAAACTGGACAGCAAGACCAAGACTGGCAACAAGCCCAACGACCTCTCCTCCGGTACAAAACCTTAACCTCATCACACCACACCTTGTCCACTCGCATCTTCAGTTTCATTATTATTATTTGAGTTGAATCTTGGTTTAATTGGTTTCATGTCCTCACCTTTTTGTAACGTGACCACGTTTTACTTTTCGTTTGTTTATTTATGTCGTCACTTTTTTGATTTTCCTCACAGCCTATGCTTGGAGAACACCTTTCCTCTCTAACAGAATTGCATGCACTGAAGCGCCAGGTAAACTCACCCCTAGCACACAGCTAAGCACCAGCTAACACTGATTGTCACTGATTTAAGTTTTGGGTATTTTTTCACAACTTTTGTGTAATATCGGTCATCCAAGCACCTTATGCATGTAATACAGTTAATCTTTTAACGTACTCAAACTAGGTCCCAACCTTTGTAACCTTGGAGTCTCTAGCTTTAGCTAATTAACTTGGCTAACAATTTAGTAATATGCTTGGCATTTTAATTGGCTTTAAAACCATTAAAACAATTAAACTGCTTTTTAGAAACATAACCTGAATTTATTACAGTACTATCCAATATGGTTTAATATATCCAGTATCATTGCCTTAAATAAAACTACATTGCTCTTAGAGAACTACTAGGTATGCAGGCTTTTGCTCCAACTCTACTAACACCTCTGATTCAGCTAATCAAGGTCCTAATGAAGATTTGGGTATGTTTCAGCAGGGCTGGAGCTAAAGCCTACACCGCCACCTCTGCAATACTGTATGGAAACCTGAGATGTATCCCCAATAGACTGCCACATATGACTGCTTCTTATACCCGTGAGAACATCTTCTTGAGTGTCTGCCTTGTGTTTCACACCTCCAGATGCCAGCAGTGACTTCTCCCTGTTTGAGGCTTTGAGGGAGACCATCTACTCGGAGGTTGCCACACTCATCTCCCAGAACGAATCGCGGCCCCACTTCCTCATCGAGCTCTTCCACGAGCTGCAGCTGCTCAACACCGACTATCTGCGCCAGAGGGCACTCTACTCCCTACAGGTAAACATCTCCGAACAATGATCTAGTGCTGATCCAAGATCAGCTCTCCTACTATGAGACTGTAAATAGTATTTCATACAATCTATGGGTAAACCTCATCGGAATGGATACAAGCCACAAGGAGCTGCTGAAAAAGACCTGAGGGGTCAAATGTTGTCGAGGAATCACGTAGGAGCATAGACTGCAGTGTGCAGAGTATGTTTTTCATCATTTACAGCTCATGCTTGTAACCTTGTTCCTTGCTGTTGGATTCCCATGTTTGACCATGTCTCTCTGCCGTTGACCTCCAGGACATAGTGACCAGGCACCTGACGGAGAAGAGTGCGGCCGAGGACCAGGCCTCCTCCCTGGGCCCCGTGGCCTGGGCAGCCGGCTCCCAGTCAGAGCTCACCCCCAGCGAGAGCCTGGCCACCAGCGACGGGGTGAGACAGACGGATATATACATACACACACACACACCTGCCGCCTCATTAAATCACTTGGCTGTCATATCACCCACTCCCTCCTTTCTCTTCTCAAACTTTCCCCATCTCTCTCACTCTCGCTCTTTTCTCTAGCTCTCTCGCTCCCATATCTCATTCCCGACACCTCTCACTTTCTCTCAACATCTCTCGCTCTCTCTAGGCATATCTTAAACACTCTGCCCATCTCTCTCTTGCTCGCTCTCTTGCTTTCTCTCTCGCTCTCTTGCTTTCGCTCTTTTCTCTCTCTCTCATATCCATCTTAAACACTCCGTCCATCTCTTTTTTTCTCTCTCCATACCTCCTTTGTTCTCCGCCCCCCTCTCTCGTCTTTGAAATCCAGTCTTCCAGTTGTCAGTAAGGCTGTGCCTTGCGGCCCATCCGTCAGTCTGAGCGAAGCGTTGCGGTTGCTGCCTGCTGGACAGATTAGATGAATGGCTGTGCAGGTCTTTGTTCTAGCCCAGGTACCCGGAGGTTTCGCTAATTAGAACCGTCCTTTTTGTCTTTGTATATCACTCCTTTGTTGCCCAGTGATGGATGAGACACCCGATTTCCCCATGTTAGGAGAAAAGGATAGAAGGGCAGATGCGCTGCCAATTGTTGTTAGTCTATTGCATCCCTTGCTAATTTAACGAGATAGAACAGACGCGAAATCCATCAAGGGAGTTTAGCAGAGGTGTCTCTGCGACGAATCAACGTTTTTTGTCGTCGTCCCCCCCTCCCCGTTCGAGACAATGAAGGATGAATGGGTTCTCTTTTTGAAAATGTCTTTTTTTCTCTTCTCCCTAAATTGTGTTTGTTAGCCCTCCATGGGTGAGTGGTGTGTAACTGAATTCCATTTTTACCTCTGTCTCTCAGGACGTGTCAGAGAAGAACATCCGGGTCATCAAGCATCACGACCCGAGTAAGAGGCGGAACGATGCAGAATCGGTGGACAACGAGAGCACCCTGTCCACCACCTCCAACCTGGAGCCGTTCGCTAACGACGACTTAGGTAAAAAATATAAAATACAAATGCATACAATGCTCTAATCCACAGCACATTAGGTCAAAAGAGAACTTCAGCTTGTGGCAACTTAACTTGAGTTTATTATCCCTCATTGCTCTTCTAATATCCTTCTCTTGCGTTCTCTCGCTCTCTCTCCCTCCTCTCTCCTGCCCCTTGCTGTGCTGTGCTGCCAGGTAACACAGTGATCCACTTAGACAAGGCTCTAGCCAGGATGAGGGAGTACGAGCGCATGAAGCTCAAGGCTGAGTTTAGCCCCAACACAACCGCTGCTACTGCCTCTGAGGCCTCTGCTAACTCCTCTGCTAGTGCTGCTCAACTGCTGGAAGGTACATCTCTCGCTCTCCACATCTCTCTCTCTCTCTCTACCTCTACCTCTCTACCTCTCTCTCTCTCTACATCTGTCTACATCTCTCGCTCTCTACATCGCTCTCTACATCTATCTCTCTCATCTATCGCTCTCCTCTCTCACTCTCTCATCGCTCCCTCTCACATCTCTCACATCTCCGCTCTCTCTTGCTCTCCATCTCTCGCTCCCTTTCGCTCCATCTCTCGTCTCTCTCTCGCTCTACATCTCTCGCTCTCGCTCTACATCTCTCGCTCTCTACATCTCTCGCTCTCTACATCTATCGCTCTCTACATCTATCGCTCGCTCTCTACATCTCTCTCTACATCTATCGCTCGCTCTCTATCTCTCTCTACATCTCTCGTGCTCTCTCTACATCTCTCTCTCGCTCTACAGAAATGATAGAAATGCGTAACGCTTGCTCCCCAAAGCCATGTGCCTCGTCCCACTCTCCGGTCTGAGGGTGTGAGCACTCCCACACACGTGTTTCCAAGTGCAAGGCACTTTGGCTGTCTGCGATCTCATGTAGAGCCCTTGAAGTGTCCCCTCACGCTCGTAGTAAAGAAAAATGGGACGTGGCAATGGTGTGTTGAGCTGTTTAGATTTCTCTTGATGCCAGCTTAAAAAACACACACCTCAGATGGGAGATGTGCTAATAAATGTGTGTGTGTGTGTAAAGGTGCGGGAGTCTGGTCAGGTGATGTCCACTGTCCCCAGATCGACACCCAGCAGCTGGACAGACAGATTAAAGCCATCATGACCGAAGTCATCCCCTTCCTCAAGGTAGGAACCCAGGAAGCACCTTAATACTCTATAGTGGTCTCCTTCCCTTTCGTCTCCTCTCCTTCATTTATACTAGGGGTGGTCAATCCTCATCCTGGAAAGCTACTGGTCTGGATGTGCAGGCTTTTGTTCCAGACTTATTCTACATTTGGAGTGAGATAACATAAGACTATTGTGATGTATGTTTTGTGTGACTTGAGCAATGATTCACATAATGTTCTAAGAACAGACATTTTCACTCTTGGAATGAAACGCTTGGCAGTGGAATAGCCCTTGTTTCTGCCTTAGCCAACTTGTTGATGTCCCAACAAACAATTTGGCAAAGCTAGCATGATTTGAATCCAACAACAGTCATGTACCCAGGCTAGCAATATTGAATGTTGTTAAAGTCAAAGAACTGAGAGCGGTTGTTTTTGTTCTTGTGGTCTGTCAGGAGCACATGGACGAGGTGTGTTCCTACCAGCTGCTGACGTCGGTGCGGCGCATGGTGCTCACCCTCACCCAGCAGAACGACGAGAGCAAGGAGTTTGTCCGCTTCTTCCACCGACAGCTGGGAGGCATACTGCAGGTATGATAAGCATTATGATATTGTTTCAAATGTAGGGAGGGGTTTTCCCCCACTGTGACTCAAACCTCAGATTAGTTTCTTTTGGTAGAATAAGAGCTGAAAACGTCCACCCAAACAAGTTAACAAAGTGCAGACTAACATAAGAATATATATCCAGAAATATTGGTTCAGCCATTTTAAAATGCGTAGTATCAGCAAAGATTTTTATAACTAAACCAAGATAGACCCACAGCCTGTCGTTTCCAATGGGAACAAATGAGCCAGTGGGCAGAACAAGCAAGTAGGGGGGCAAAGCCAAGCACGAGCTAGCGAGATCCTATTGGTTCAGCCATAAAAAAAAATATTAAAAAAAATAGTATCAGTGTGCAGCTTTCTTCGATTTTCTCAACACCTATTCTGTCTATTATCTAGTGCTGTTTTAGCTTATCATTATTATCAAAATGGAGCCCTAAGTTTCTCTCCCTCCCCCTCAGGACTCTCTGAGTAAGTTTGCAGGACGTACTCTAAAGGACTGTGGCGAGGACCTGCTGGTGGAGATCTCTGAGATCCTGTTTAATGAGCTGGCCTTCTTCAGACTCATGCAGGATCTGGACAGCAACAGCATCAGTACTGCTACTATAACTAACTCCCAGGCCAGGCACAAGAACAGGAGACAACCACCCAATAACCAAGTCAAGCAGGAACACAGGAATAATGAGGTAGGTGGAGGGGAAGGAGTCTGGGGAGGGTGTGTGTGTGTGTGTGTGTGTGTCATTCGATCTATAATGAAATGAGGGAATCCATTTCAAGACTGGTAAACATTTGTCTACTTTCAGGAGAACAAGTCGCCGGAGGTCGAGAAGTCATTTTCCCCAGCATATCTCGATGAAGACAAAGTGAGGAAATCAACATTCAACATCTGATTTTCTAGTGTGGTTTCAAGCCAGATCTGTCTCTTTTTAGACTACACATTGTGTAGTCCAGGGGTGTCAAACTCAGAAAATATGTTATTTCCTCAGCGTCAAAATTAGCACAAATATTCCAGCGTTTTTTGTTTTGTTTTTTACGCTCCCTGACTGTAGCTTTCATTTCAGTGATTATTAGCAAGCTGGACACTGTATGAATGTAGGTCAATTTGTATAATTTCTACACAGTTTCAATTTGGTTTAGTCATTTTAAAGTATATTGAGTAAATGTTCTACCCCAAGAAATTGTCTAAAGAAAAGTCTAATTTGACACCCCTGGTGTAGTCTAAAGGTTGGAAGGATAGTGTAAATGTCTTCAATAACTGTTTACATCTCCCTCTGTGTGTAAATGTCTTAAATAACTGTTTACATCTCCCTCTGTGTGTAAATGTCTTAAATAACTGTTTACATCTCCCTCTGTGTGACAGGATGAAGATGAGACAGAGCAGAAAGAGACCGAGAGGGAGCGGCACGGAGGAGAGAGGAAGGACAGCAGGAGCAGCGAGGCCTCCGAGGTGGAGGTGGAGGAGGAGGAGGAAGAGGAGGATGGAGAGGGACTGCCACTCTCTATTAGTGAGTGAATACTACAATGCGAGAAGCCTCAATTAGCCTAAAAGCTACTCTGTAAAGTGAGTTCAACCACAGCGAACCTTGCTAGTGACCGTAGCTACTAGAGGAAGCTTGTGAACGAGTGTTCTGCAGGTTAACAATGGAGGATTTGTTGTGAATTTTTATTGTCGTGGCTTTACAAGTGCCGCCTACCTATTTCCAACCAAGTAAACTCCTACTACTACTAGGATTATGAAGAGTGCCACACCCTAGACTAGTTACCTCCCAGTGCTAACCCTTCATGGTTTATGTTCTTGGCCAGATCTGTCCAAGGCGGAGACCCAGGCCCTGACTAACTACGGCAGCGGGGAGGATGAGAACGAGGTGGAGGAGATGGAGGAGTTTGAAGCTGAGCCCCCGGACGTCCAGACCTCCCTGCAGGCTAGCAATGATGGCGGAGAGCAACGGGTTAGGAAACACACACTCAGTACACACACTTCCATTAGACTGTCTAGTTACCATCTTCTCCTGTATTTCAGGGAGCAAATGAAGCCCCGTCAAATGGAAACCGAGAGACAAAGTCGGACCAAGAAAGCTCTGAGAGTAACGATGGTAAGAACGTTCACTGTCTCTTAGCTTTTAGCCAGCCAAAATAGTGCCCGTTTTTCTTTGCGTCTACCTTTTGCTGTGTACATTGTCCACATTTTGATAAATGGCTGTCGGGTTTTTTCATTATAGCAGTGTTTGGTCTGATGGATGTCTTTGTGTTTTCAGCCCCTCTGATTCTCAATTAACCCCATTCCCCCCCCCCCCCCCCCCCCCCGCTTTCCTATCCTTTACAGTGGGGAAAAAAAGTATTTAGTCAGCCACCAATTGTGCAAGTTCTCCCACTTAAAAAGATGAGAGGCCTGTAATTTTCATCATAGGTACACGTCAACTATGACAGACAAAATGAGGGGAAAAAAATCCTGAAAATCACATTGTAGGATTTTTAATGAATGTATTTGCAAATTATGGTGGAAAATAAGTATTTGGTCAATAACAAAAGTTTCTCAATACTTTGTTATATACCCTTTGTTGGCAATGACACAGGTCAAACGTTTTCTCTAAGTCTTCACAAGGTTTTCACACTGTTGCTGGTATTTTGGCCCATTCCTCCATGCAGATCTCCTCTAGAGCAGTGATGTTTTGGGGCTGTCGCTGGGCAACACAGACTTTCAACTCCCTCCAAAGATTTTCTATGGGGTTGAGATCTGGAGACTGGCTAGGCCACTCCAGGCTCTTGAAATGCTTCTTACGAAGGCACTCCTTCGTTGCCCGGGCAGTGTGTTTGGGATCATTGTCATGCTGAAAGACCCAGCCACGTTTCATCTTCAATGCCCTTGCTGATGGAAGGAGGTTTTCACTCAAAATCTCACGATACATGGCCCCATTCATTCTTTCCTTTACACGGATCAGTCGTCCTGGTCCCTAGCATGATGTTTCCACCCCCATGCTTCACAGTAGGTATGGTGTTCTTTGGATGCAACTCAGCATTCTTTGTCCTCCAAACATGACGAGTTGAGTTTTTACCAAAAGGTTCTATTTTGGTTTCATCTGACCATATGACAGTCTCCCAATCCTCTTCTGGATCATCCAAATGAACTCTAGCAAACTTCAGACGGGCCTGGACATGTACTGGCTTAAGCAGGGGGACACGTCTGGCACTGCAGGATTTGAGTCCCTGGCGGCGTAGTGTGTTACTGATGGTAGGCTTTGTTACTTCGGTCCCAGCTCTCTGCAGGTCATTAACTAGGTCCCCCCGTGTGGTTCTGGGATTTTTGCTCACCGTTCTTGTGATCATTTTGACCCCACGGGGTGAGATCTTGCGTGGAGCCCCAGATCGAGGGAGATTATTGGTGGTCTTGTATGTCTTCCATTTCCTAATAATTGCTCCCACAGTTGATTTCTTCAAACCAAGCTGCTTACCTATTGCAGATTCAGTCTTCCCAGCCTGGTGCAGGTCTACAATTTTGTTTCTGGTGTCCTTTGACAGCTCTTTGGTCTTGGCCATAGTGGAGTTTGGAGTGTGACTGTTTGAGGTTGTGGACAGGTGTCTTTTATACTGATAACAAGTTCAAACAGGTGCCATTAATACAGGTAACGAGTGGAGGACAGAGGAGCCTCTTAAATAAGAAGTTACAGGTCTGTGAGAGCCAGAAATCTTGCTTGTTTGTAGGTGACCAAATACTTATTTTCCACCATAATTTGCAAATAAATTCATTAAAAATCCTACAATGTGATTATCTGGATTTTCTTCTTCTCAATTTGTCTGTCATAGTTGACGTGTACCTATGATGAAAATTACAGGCCTCTCTCATCTTTTTAAGTGGGAGATCTTGCACAATTGGTGGCTGACTAAATACTTTTTTCCCCCACTGTATGTCTCTCCCACCCTCCTTTTTTCCTCACCTTCGCCTGTCTGTCCTAAACTTTCCTGCTTGATTATCCCCCCCCCCAGTCAAGAGCAGTAAGTCCGAGTCCATCGAGGTGGTGGACTCCCCAGAGGAAGAGCGTGAGGGGGAGGGTGTGGAGCGCGGGAGGCCAGAGGGGGAGAGCCAGGGAGGTACGGCCTCAGCAACCACCAACAACCAGGAGGGCTCCCACTCCCAGGGCTCAAACAGCAGCAGCAGCCCCGACACAGAGTCACCCGTCATGATCAACATAGACGTAAGACCACTACACCGACCTATGGTCCTTTTTTTCCCTCTTTTTTTTTTTACTACAAAAATTGTATTGGATTCAAGTCTGTAATTAGATTTTTTTTATTTTATGTATTCCAATGTCTTTATTACTTCTCCAAATGCTCTTCATGATTTATACCCTTTAATTCTTTATGATTTATACCCTTTTAATTATTTATGCTTTATACCCTTTTAATTCTTTATGATTTATACCTTTTTAATTCTTTATGATTTATATACTTTCTAACGCTTTAATTTAATTCATGCAGGAGGTGGGATCAGGAAACACGAGCCAGAAGTCAGACGAGGAAGACTTTGTCAAAGTGGAGGACTTACCCATGCAGCTCAGTGTCATATGTGAGGTGGGACTAGCCAGAACGACTCCATTTCCCCTGTTGTCGATACGTCCACTTCCCTTTTCCTCTTCTTACAAACTGTCTGATCATTGGTCTTATGAAATCTAATAATGTTCTCTGTGTGATGAACAGGAGGCGCTCCAGAAGAGGATAGTCGAGGAACAGCAGAATAATAATCTGTCTGCTGAGATCCTCAGTGGGAACACTGACACACTGACTGGACTAGTGGGAAATGGACACACACTCAAAGAACCAGGTAGGTACAGACAAGTACCTAGTGAAATGATGCACTGTCTGGCACAGTTTTCAATTCAAAATTGTTTCATGAAACCGGTAGAGCGCAACTTCTTCACAGAATGTCCAGGTAAATAAATGTATGTTGCAGAACTGATATTATTCTGTCATGTAGACAAGTAAATGTTGGCTATATACTATGTTATGAATGACTATTTATACTTTATACTATTGTATCCATCTGCTGTGTTTGCGATATCTCTAGAAAGATAGAATCCTTCTACTACTTTTTTCTCCATCTTTCTTACAGAAACGATAGGTGCACAAAGTGCATGAAGAGACCGTCTTGTACAAACGTTGTCGAATGACCACCGTCTCATTGACCACTACAGAATAACCCTAAAGATGTTCAGACTCCTATTGGTACTTAATGATTTGATTATTGGACGGTAGCAAGGGTTGGCGAGACAATGTCATGACGTGCCAGTGACTAAGCTGCGCTCGAAACAGTTCAAAACAACTACAATGGTTAAAACAACTATAACTGTAATGTAACCAATACGGTTTTGTTTATTTTAACTCCTGAGGCTGTATCTATTAAGCTCATCAGAGTAGGAGTGCTGAAGATCTAAGGTCAGTTTGGGCTTTTAGATCATAATACATATTGATTGTATGGACAAGCTGGACCTGATCCTGGATCAGCACTCCTGCTCTGAGACGCTTGATACATATGGCCCCTGATTCCTGAATGTGTTCTATGATTTGTTGCTGATTTGGGGTTTTAGGGTGGGGTCTCTCTCTCGCTCTATGCTGCTGTGTTACGTATAAAGTTTAACAAGCCTCGTTTGAATCCTCTAGTCTAGCAAACTTGTTGAAAATCGCCTTAGTTCTGTTTTTTCCGGATATGGGATCAGTTTGAAATCGGTTTTGTCATTTTGAATTGTTTTATTTGTTTGTGTTCTTGGCCTTGCCTTATTCTCTCGCTAGCGCCCATGCTTTTCAAGCAATTGACCCTTTGAACTCTTAAGAACTACAACGCTAAAGAACTACAAGTACGACTTCAAACTAGATTCAGGCTGCTGGTGAGGCGTTGCATCACCTTTGGCTGTAGACTACATTGGCACCTAACATCTTTTCCTTCTCATGTCATGGGGCTGTTGGTCATCTTTACTGCACTATTTTAATGTTACCTTTTCCCTTCCAAATCTTAGTTTTACCTTTTGTAGGCATGTTGATATCTCTTTTTGTTTTGCTTTTGTTTCTCGGGGCAGTTTCCCATGATTTCCATGTAATTAAAGATGTTAACTACTGTATGTAGTTTTAAAGAATAAAATGATGGAACTTTTCAAAGCGGTGGCTTGTCTTTAACTAGTGTAGTTTACTGGAAGTCTGTAGACATAAAAGACCCATAATCAGATTACTTGAATGCAAAAAAATTGGAACTATGAACTGATTGATCAATGCTTTCATGTGCCCAGTTTATACCTGGCGCTAACACGTGTCCTGGGCACTTTCTCAATTAGGTAAAAATCTGTCCTCTTCTCCGTGACCCGTAAATCGAAATGCGGTCGCCATATAGAATAGGTGAACGGAGGCCTTTTCTGCACCAAGCACTCCCTTATCATCCCTACCGCGGTAGAACGTGTAGGCTCTTATCGATGATAGAAATAATGATGGGCTAATATAATTATGTGTTTGTTAATTTGTAACAAAGCAGTGAACAGCATACAAAAATTGAGGTGCCATTTGTTAACCCTTTACACTTGTGGGAATTAGCCTATATGGATAGGGCTAAATTGAAATGTTTCTTACAGAAGAAATATGAAAAGCATATGCATGACCATGGAAGCAATTGAAAGGGAACAGTATGGATATAATGGGGAAATTATTAGACCAAGGGAGTACACAACCGTTCACCTGACAACTGAATCCAAACTTTACACATTTTTATTTGCATTTTAGCCATTTAGTGTACTTTGTGTACATTTGATAATGAAATCTAAAAATAAATAAAAATCCGGATACATCCAGTAACAAGACTATTCCTGGAAAATGTGGGGTATGTGCAACATAAGACCATTTTTACAAGGGTTTGAGTGAGGACTACCTGGTGTCTCGGTCCACCCACCTCCAAAGCATGGACAGTTTCTAAGAAATGTCAATGCACTTATGACTGTCTGCAACTATAAGACACTTTTTTTTTAGCTCTCCTAGCTGTGCCGTTGAGGAACTAGAGCACACTTGTTTCGTTTGGAACGCAACCCTGTATCCCCGCCATCACACAATTACTGTTTATGCAATCCAAAAACTGTCCATTATAAATTGCAATCTGGGTCAGGTGGGCATGATTTTAATGCTTGTTCTATTGCCCACATGACTAGCTAACTTAATACGATCTTAGTTAGGCTTTCAAGGCAATTCAGAGAAACAGATCGTAATTTTGGTGCGCATAGAAAGGAGTCTTGAGTGCATTCAGGTGCAGTGAATTTTCTTCAATAAACAAATGGGCTCATTCTGTTCAGAACAACCAAGGGTATGATGGACATGTCATCTTGTAACTACATCAAGCATAGTGATCATAAACATTGACACTGTATAGACATGAGATTTTGATTTGGAAATGTGAAGTGCACATTTGGACTCTCAGGTGTTTGGCTTGCTTATATGACATCAAAGCGGTATTTATTATAATCCTCAACGTCATCTTTCAAAATGTATAGTCATTTTAAATTTCCAACATTTCCCTTTTTTTTCTTCTTTAATTTTTTTTACAAAAGTTGCCCCCAGCCCTTCCGGTAATTAGGCAACTTCTTTTAGTGTGGTGCTCAAGTTCAGAATGGCTGTCAGTCAAAACCCATACAGAGCTGTGAAGCGGAGAACCAGAGCTCTGACGTCATGTATAGCATGTTACTGTACAGCCACTATGTTCCAATTTAGGGGCTTATTAGTGCCCAAATCTGCCATTTTTACCCTGTATACGGATACGAGTGTTACAGGTTAAGCAATTGAGGTTGAGGCAATATTTGGATCAGAGCAGTTAGTTACAGTGCAAAGACTTGAAATATGTACAACAGGATTCTCCAGTTGTGTTCCTGAATCAGTTGAGCCCACCACCGTTCTGTGCAATAGATCATTTAGAAACTGATCTGAGGTCTGTGTTGGAGGCTTCACCAGGGCATACAGGGGTTGGGGCAGTCACGGATGTAGGATTCCAGTTTTCCCTTGTTCACGTCCATCAACGTGGTGTATGTGGTCAACTGCAATGACGAGAAGAAGTCAATGTCACTCCGGACTTATGCATTACACTTTTTATTGAATCGTTCATTGCGATATGGTTGATTAATGATAAAACAGTAAATAAGGGCTCACCTTGTTCAAGACTGGTTTTGTCGACAGCACGTCGTACACTGTCTTCAGTGAGATGTTCTGAGGAGAAAGGAAAGGGGAAAAGAATCTTAGCACTTTGTTTAGCACAAAGATACTTTCTTGACTGAGTCCGATTTCCTTTTGTACAGGAAATTAAAACAAACATCCAGAAATATAATGTAAGGAGCAGAGCCAAATTATAGAGTTGACTTTTTGTTCAGCCATGGAATGGTTGGTAGTCTGCCCACCTATGCATCTATGGCTTATCTATGGTTGTAGTACTCAGTACTCACTGCCTGCATGGTCTGGTTCATACACTTCATGGCTGGAGTCCTGCGGTTGTCCAAGAACAGAGGCTCATTCCAGTGATCGTAGTTGGTCTCCAGAACGTACCAGCGGCCCAGCTTCAGATCAATCCTTCACAACAAACACAGGAGTACAATGTTTAGGAATTTGATGCTTCCTGTTTAAATCAGGAATATCTACATGTATCCTTATGTAATAGAAACGAACCTATCGGCTAGACAGATTTCCCTGCTTTTGTAGTCTTGATCACATCCCTGAATGTTTTACAAACCCAGTGTTTAACATAATGATTTGTATGACTATTGTGATGCAAGGTAATCTTGGGCATCATTATCTACTTTCATTAGTTGAAATTTGGACTCAAGGATTTCCAACAGCATAAATGTGGTATTTTGGAATAGAATGGTGTGCCGTCTTTTGTTCCCACCCCCAAGACCTTTTCAAATCAAACATGCTAGTGCTGGGCTGGTGTGTTTATAGACTATAATTTCAGTAGTTGAAATTGGATAGTAATATAGCGTTTTTAGCCACTCACTCCCAGATGTCGATGCTGAGGACTCTGGAGCGGGTGATGACACAGCCCTGGCCCGTCTGGTTCCCTCCCAGGATGAAGTAGGCCGGGGCCAGCAGCTTGGTCTGGGCCAGAAGGTGCTTAGCCTCCTCGTAGCTGCATACACACAGGGTTTAAGAGAGGGTGTGTTTGTGAGACCAAAGAAATGTCCATTTCAAAATGCTGGTCTTGAATGTACTCAGGTTTTCCTCCATAATACAGCCCTTATCTCTGATTCCACTAAGTATTGCCATCATATTAAAGCAAGAATAAGAATGGGTATTATTACCTTCAATAACAAAACATATACATATAAATACGGTTGACATGATATTGTAATTTGATACTTCCATGAAAGTGGAAAGATACCTGGTAGCATTCTCTAAGACTGAGCGAGTGAGGAAACTCATCCACATCCCATCTCTATTCCCCAGGATCCACTCCACGATCCCTGAGAAAGGACAGACACACTTAACATTCCCCGCTCCGCATTCATCACAGGTCTATAATGTACTGATTGAGAGACCGGGAGAGTTTTATAGCTCACCGATGTATCCTCCATCAAGGCTGAAGCGCTCATTCATGGTCAGAGTGAAAACATGCTTCAAAGAAAATGAGAAATGTGAAAAAAAAGTGTCAAACATTACACTGTTTCACAACTACCATGATATTAAAACAGATGTAAGAAAGCCATTTATTTTTCTGTCATCATTGGCTAAAAAGACACCACTTCAGGGTCACGTTCTAAAGGCATGAAAAGGGATTTCTGACAATGTTCCCATTTGAAAATGTTGCTTTCTTCCATTTGTGCCTGCTGAATGCAGCCCGGAGCAGACTGGAACTCACCGGCTTGATGCCAGTCAGCATGCCCACATAGCCGGCGAAGTTAGTGGACTTGAAGACTGTCTTGTTGCCTCTCTGGAAGTCGATGTTGACCACCAGAGGCTTGAGTTTCTCTGTTATCAGCCAGGACCTGTTCTTCATGTCCCACCTGGTAGAGAAAGAAACAATATAAGGGGATTATTTTCAGTAAAGAATAAAACGGTGTAGCAACTGGGAAAAAAAAGTTGACAGAAAACCAGTGAAAAACAAATCACATTGGTTAGAAGGTATTGTTCATCCAAATAACAAATGCAAACCACATTATATAACCACATTATATAAATCAGTGACTGACTAGTGATTTGGGTTTGTAATAGCTACAGTGTCCTATTAACACAATGGAGCACAAAACAATGTGTGGTAGGACCCTTGATATGCCTTCTTTTGTCACTAAACCGTAGCAGTGACATTCTTACCCCATGAATAGTCCAAAGTCCATATTCCGCCCATGGATAAGGTTACCTATGACAATGCAAGGAGAAACCAAAATGCTGTGTGTACATGAGAATTTCAAGCATCACGTCCTACTATGATGACATGTACTTGCTGCATAACTAAAGTATTGATTCAAATGTGTCATAACATAACATGAGTTACTTACCATTCGAGTCCTCTGCCACTAGAGAAGTGCACACCGTGAAGACCTCATAGAAGATGTTGAAGAGGACAACCTCGCCTGGAATGAAACATGTATAATACAATCAGAATAGGAGGGAGGTGAGACAGAAACTAGAGACCGAATGATAGTGAAGTTACGGTCATGGGTTGAAATTAGGCAATTGTGGGTTACTGTATATTACCAAGGGGAACACCCGAGGCAGTCGCAATTCCTTTTATTTCCTCGTTGAATGGGTAGGGAAGGGTACTCACTATCAAAGGCTGCAGAACACACAAAACCATTAGTCATGGAGAAACAGTTACATGATCAAATTAAACAATAATTGAAATTATTTTATGAGACGAGGTGTAATAGAGTTTTCCAGTGAAATGATCAAACGCTCTCACCAAGTCCTTGTCGACCAAATCTATTAGTTTCCCACTAGGAACGAAAGCGTTGGCCAAATCCCTGATAGCCTGGATCATGCTGACCAACTGAAGAAAACCAGACAAATAGTGAATAAGAAAACAGTACAAGTATTGATCCTATAGTAAATACATTTACGTAATTGAAATTGATATGAACAAGACATGTAATACTCTCACCTCAGCTTTTTTGTCAGTGATGATTAGCTTCCATCTTTCGCTGGGGGGCAAATCCAGGTCTATTGTGTACCAGGTGACGGACCCTTTGAATCTGATCAAAACCGTGACATGAGACATTTTAGATTGATGCATAATGACATTGAGGTCACTTTCCTATCCCCTGAAAGTGGTATTGCACAATATTGTCATGTGAGACTCATTCACATTAGTCACTAAAGTAGTCATAGTTGCCCCAGTGCAATTACAATGGACAGAGGCAGGTAGCTAATGACATTATGCACCTGGTTATACACAATACAAACACTTCCTGTTTACCTTGCATAAGGTGTGCCGCCTCATGCATGAGCTAGGAGCTTGTGCCAGGTGTTACAAAACTTATGCAAGTTGTTTAGTTGGACATTTGACAGCACCTTGGACAACTAGCAAGCACACTGTGACTAACTAATGGCAATACTTACGTTGGACCTTTGGGAGGGTACATGCCCGTCTGACATTCTTCGGTATACTGTTAGAGGGCGAAAGAAAGCAAAGCTTTGTTCAGGTGAAGACACACTTTCTAGCTAGCACTCAGGCTAACTAATATTTTGATGACAGAATAGTCAGTATTTGGATGCACTTACCGGTGGCACAAACTGTGCCGATACTGCAGATAAGGACACCAAGAGAAGAGAACACAACCAATTCATCTTGTGCCCCGTTGTTTGTGTGTGAAGCTTCTTCTAACTTTTGGTCCGCTTCAAAATACGGAAGTGCATGCTTTCCTCGTGATTTGAGAGGAGCGTACCATTACACTATGGGCAGGCGGCTTCAACAGATTTTATACATTAATTTTTCTCTGATTCAGATACATTATTTGTTTTGTTTATGTCGCTTATTACACATAAAAATGGTTAAGTGTATAAATAGGCTTCTACTGATGTGAAAATATATAAATATGTCCTCCCATCCCTGATACTGGTACATTCCTGATTGTTATACTGAAGTGAAAACAAGCACATGACATGACTGGCAGTTAAAGAGCAATAGAATGGGCTTATTGTAGTTAAAGTTCGGCACAGGTTACTCATAAAACAACTGAAAGGGGTTGTGTGTGACAAATTACTTTTTAAAGCAAATTCGCTTGTCATCAAAGGCTGTTAAAAATAGTTTAAAACTGAGGAGCTTTGCCATATTCACACCTTGAAGCTGTAGTGGAGAGTGTGGTAAATTGAGCCAGGGGTAAACTGAGCAACCGTTGTTTCTAGGAAACCGAATACAAAATAAATAGTATGTGAGGAAAGAAACCGCATGGAAAAAGTAGTAAGCAAGTTAGGTCCAAAAAACAGATTTTCAACAAGTCAAATTAATTTGTGTTAAGAGGTTTCATGACGCTTGTATCAAAACCAAAGTAAATTATTGTAAGATTGTTCTATACATCAGTTTGTGCCTCTATAAGCTTCAATATGAGGCCATAAAACTAGCATTAAAGTGCATCCTTGTAGCTGTGTGGGCTAATATAGTCAAAATGTTGGGATAAGTTGAGAAAATGGAAGTATGTTTTCTTCCCAGGTGTAATGCAAGGCATTATTCCTGGGATATGAGGTAACAACAGGGCCTAGCCTATGTTAAAAGTACCAAGTGTTTGTTAGGTGTTAAGCCTGTGTTAAAATATGCTTAATATGATTAAAATACAAAAAAAGCAATTGTGATTGTGTTGAATTGTGAGTGTGTGAAAACCTTGTGAAGACTTACAGAAAACGTTTGACCTGTGTCATTGCCAACAAAGGGTATATAACAAAGTATTGAGAAACTTTTGTTATTGACCAAATACTTATTTTCCACCATAATTTGCAAATAAATTCATTAAAAATCTTACAATGTGATTTTCTGGATTTGTATTCCTCATTTTGTCTGTCATAGTTGACGTGTACCTATGATGAAAATTACAGGCCTCTCTCATCTTTTTAAGTGGGAGAACTTGCACAATTGGTGGCTGACTAAATACTTTTTTCCCCAATGTACCCGGGGTAAGTTTTGTCAAGACACCACTTTTTCTGGACAAGCTATGTTTTCAAAACTGTAATGTTTACATTCATTCTGATTATTTCCAGGGATACACAACATCCTGAAATATATGTAGATGTCTTTGTTAGAAATAATACTATATTTCCCTTGACAGAGTGATGCTGAAAGCAAAAAATGGCTCAACTTACCCCACTCTTCCCTACAGTATTTCCTAATAAACAAACATCAATGGACTGTCCCAAACATCTGACAGATCTACTGATCTGCAGTTTTTTAGGGCAAAACAAAGATAGTGGTAGTAGGCATGTTGGCAATGATTTACAGGAAAATGGGTCACTGGGTAATCTCTCGAATACAATCCAGTTTATTATCTGAGAGATGACGCCTAGGGAAACCCAGTGAAACAAGCTACTCCGTCTTCTGAGCAGCCAGCTAGGGAAGGGGTTTAGGGATTGAAATTACACAATAATCCCACAATTTACTCTCTCTTAAACAAATACAATTTATTCATGATAAAAAGTTACATCAAAACAAATTAATCAATGCCAGTCAAACAATCAAACATATTCATCAATGCCAGTCAAACAATCAAACAGATTCATCAATGCCAGTCAAACAACCAAACGAATAAAAAGGAAATACTTTTTGATTTTAACATAAGAAATTCAAAGACGAGTGGACAATCCATAAACTCTTGTATCTTCACTTGCAGTATCGGTCTGCTTTCATCTTGGCTCTCCTGTGGACAAACAAAAAAAGGCACGAGTGGTTATTTTCAGTCCTTACATCACCACTATCCACCAGACAATGTAAATAGCTATCACGTGACAAGTCAGCTTGTCGCAACATGTTGAATTGAAACAGGTTTGTGCAAATAGGTTTCGAGTGTGTTGGCAGTTTGACCAATTATCTGACCAACTCCTGCTATTAAATGGCCATCAGTAGGAGTCATGTCAACAGTCATTTGGACCAGTTCCAGAGTGATTTCTTGGAAAGGATGTTTGGATTTGTTGATTATTAAAACCAGTTTGTGTGTGGTTGTTTCCTTTGGGGAAGCTACCTCCACTGAAATCAAAATTTCACTTAGTCATGCATTGATGTCAATGGGAGACTGAATGAAAATTAGACTTAAGTAGAAGTTTAGGATTTGCCTCTTTATGAGATGTTTTTCCCCCACCTGTCTAACAGCTCTTCGTGGAACTTCCCGTCTTTCCGGGCCATCTTCAGTGTGGTGCTGTCCTCCTCGTTCAGCCTCAGCCGCCTGTCCTGGAAACTCTGGAACTTCTTTCTGTAATATCAGAAATCTGTGTTCAGTGAGACTTATTACACACACAAACAAACAAACACACACACAGTCATCATACAAAGCCTCATGATAAGACATGGAAGGACCAGTCACACACCACTATCAAACACAAAGAATAACGACACTGAACAAAAATCTAATCAATTTTATTGGTCGCGTACACATATTTTGCATATGCTATCGCGGGTGTAGTGAAATGCTTATGTTCCTAGCTCCAACAGTGCAGTCATACCTAACAATACACACAAATCCCCAAAATAAAAATAAAGGAATTACGAAATATTAGAACGAGCAATGTCAGAGTCCGGAATATAAATAATATTGCACTCTCTGGGGCATAAACCTGACTACATTATCAATGACAAATGTGAATGCAAACGTGTATAGAGCGACTTACACTCGTTAGTACCGTGCCATTTCCATTGAAGTAAACAATCCTGATAGTAGATACATACAGAGTGCAATGGGGCCGCAAACAAACGCATTGGTTTTTACCAGGCGCTTTAACGACATTTAGTCCCTCTAGCAGTGGTTACAGTGGTTTATGATTCACGGGCAGCGCTCTGTTCATGCAACACGCTCGGGGATGCTAAGCACTACATCACGATGACGGGCTCAAGGGCAGCCATTATCTTCATGTCAACATGATGAGTCCATTTCCCCTGTGTTTTCCTCCTCTACAATAAAAAACTATGGCGAGAACAGGGGAAGATAAAAAATTGAACACGAAGTTGAGGGTGGAAGAGGAGAAATGGAACACAATGACAGCCTTGTTCACGCTTAGCCCTCAGAACTTAATGGGCCGCCTCAGGCCGTAAAAGCGGCAGCGGCGTTCCGTTCTCATTCCCGTTTCCATCCCCGTAGCGTTGGCCCATCAATCGGCCTTTTAAGGGAGCGGGATTGATGAGGTGGCACCTGCTCCTCACGCATCAGGGCCTGTGATTTAGTTGTCAAAATCTCACCAGAGCGGAAGGTTGTCGGTGAAAACGGAGGGAAATCACTGTCTGTCTACAGAAGGTCAGTGTTCAACCCCTCCACCTTCCTCGCTGTCTTTTCTACATAAAATGCTTCACCCCCCCACTGTGAGAACTGGTAGGTGAAGTTTAAAGGAAAATTCCACCCCAAAACGATCTTTTGGTATTTGTTTCATTAGTCCATTGTTGATATAGTCCCAAAAAAACAATCATGTTTAAGATATATAACTTTCAAAATACAGATATGCAGCCAGTGATGCAAAATGAATCATACCGGCTGTATTTCTGATTTTGAAAGTTACACATCTTAAAACTTGATCGCTGACATGCAAAACATTTTGGGACTATATCAACAATGGACTAATGAAACAAATACTAAAGATAGTTTTAGGGTGGAATTTTCCTTTACCATTTCTTATGTTCATTTGGACAAGATGAGCCATACAACAAGGGTTACAACCTCTCTAGACTAGAGGGCATGGAATCCCCACCTTGTATGATTACCGCTGCAAATGTTGCAGCCACTGTGAGTGTGACGTAGGTAGACAGACAGTACATACACGTAGTTGAGCTCGCAGTTCTTCACGTTGCCCCTGTCCTCGTCTGCAATGTCGTCGTTCCGCTTGACCTCCCTCTCCGCGCATGACCGGATCTGTTCATCATCATAGAGAGAGACAGAAGGAGAGAGGGCGAGAGAGAGAGGGGAAAAAACAAAACAGTTGCAAGTTGAATAGCAATATCCTGCCACCCTAATGTTCAGAGACATTTAGTTTTTTCTTTCCGTCACCAACTTCAGACTCCCCCATGGGGATGTCATTTCTATAGTATAGATGGGGGGGGGGATTATGGAGCGACCTTGTGAAATATATACATCACCTTAACCATCTCGTCGTCCCCCGCCAACTTGCTCTTAGCCTCAATGTCCCCACTTTCACTGTAGGAGATGAAACAGCTATTTGCTGCCATGAGAGCCATTTTGCCCTGGAACAGGGGAAAGAGAAAGAAATTAGTTTTAAAAAATGGAAAACAAACAGAAATGAAATGAAGAGATTAGTTGACAGATGAGTTTCACCTCATGCTGATACTCCATTCGCGAGGTAAAAGCTCAATTATATGCAGAGAGCGTCAAACTTTCTCTCCAATACGCATCAACAAAGCAACAAGCTGTGAGGTAAACAAGGCCTATCTATATCTAGGGTTACTATGCAACAAGTACTATATGATATGGCATTATGTCACAGTTTTTGTATGTATTGACTTTGAAGTTTTTTCTATTGACAGTTGCTTCACTCACGTCCTGGAAAACAGGCTCCCACTGTTCCCGGGAGCCGATGGCGTCAGAACGCCCCACCACGACCCCCTCCGAGGTGATCCCTAGATACTTCCCATAGCCAGACTTCAGAGCTACCCTGGGGGAAAAACACAGGAGAACAAAATTCATTCCTGGATACTGGCAGGTTGATTTGAGTCTCTAAAAACTTTTCCAAAGACTATTTAAAGATAAAGACCATTTGAACAACAATGTTCTAATTTAAATCCAATTTTGTATTAATAAAATTGTAAACCTGCAGAGACTGTAATTGTTCTTCCGAAGTCTATTATAACTCACCAGGGGACACTTCCCATTCAGATTTGGAGAGAGGAAGTCAACATAAAATGTGCATAGGTGATATTTACTCCTTTCATACACACCTAGAGTCTGACAGCTTGATGGCAGTGAACTGCTCCGGGGGGTCTGGCCCTTCATCGTCTGCAAAATATCAAAGACAACATTTCCCTTTTTAGAGTCACGAATCACTGATTGATTTTCTAATCAGAGCATTTTCAAAAAAAAAAAATCTTCCTTATTTTTATCCGAGAGGAGCCTTCGTTTTGGATTAATGAGGATTAAAAAAAGATGTCACTTTATTATCACTTCAAACATTTGGGAACTTGGCTCTGCCGACTTAACATTCAGTGTTGAAACATTGTGTACGATTAGCATTTCTCACATTCTCTCGCCATGTTCGTGATCTTGAAGAAGACAAATAAATCTGTCGCAGTGGTGCCAGTACAATGCATTTGATCTCAGATGCATTAACATACAATAACAATGTGCCATTCTGAAAACAGACAATTTGCATAATTTCCTCTAGCAGCGGGTCTACCCTTGAGACGTACTGACGTAGAGCCTTCATGTTTTACTAATGCTTCATGGTCATTAATAACACACAACCTTGGGCTACACGATGTTGCTGCTGTGTGCTATTGATCGCCTACACCCACCCTAATCTCGGAAACCCAGACCTCCAATCTTGCATAATTGCATCAGATGCTCGATTAGGTTCTGGGGTGAGATGTATGAGAACGGATATTATAAAACTAGAGAAGTCTCCACTCCCTTAAACGGAAACTCTCAGCTAAAGGCTCCACCCCTTCAAAAAATGTTCCACTTGAAATCATTGCTTGAAATCCCTGCCCCAATTTAAGCACCCAATCCTGATACTGCCAAATAACCAGCGACAGAAAACCAAAGCACCGGGACTACTGTCGCTCGTTAGTCATCGTAGTCCGTCCACAAGAGATTATATCCACCCTGACAGCTGTAAAATTACAGGCAATCCTTATCCTGAGTTCCAAAACTCTTCTCTGGCTTCGCAGGCTCGGCCCTAATTTATGCGTTCTCTGTCACCTGGAGCTGCATGGCAAATGGTCCAGGAACAAAAGGACAATGCCCAAGGACTAGTCAGCCCTTCCCCCTCTAAGGGGACAAAATGTATCTCTGTAACAGTATGCAGAGGACTGATAGAATAATGCTATAGTATCCATGTTTGGTATCTATCTGAAACTTGTTCACTGAGGATAACTCTGATGCTAACTATATGTATGTATGATCTTTGTGGTTATTTGTCTCTGTACAGGGTGAACTCTGAATTACTATATGCAAAAGATTTTATGGTCCTCTTAGAAATTCTGTCTGATTTACATTGGTCTCATCCCCCACACAAGCCTTTAGATGATGTGACACCCTGTGGAGATTGGGCCTGGGAGTGTTTAGGTTACTGTCAACTTACATTTACATGTTTAGTTATTTAGCAGATGCTAAATACTGGCCCCCCGTGGGAAACGAACCCACATGCCGGCCAAACCCTCCCCTACCTTGGACGACGCTGGACCAATTGTGCGCCGCCCATGGGTCTCCCGGTCGCGGCCGGCTGCGACAGAGCCTGGACTCGAACCAGGATCTCTAGTGGCACAGCTAGCACTGCGATGCAGTGCCTTAGACCACTGCGCCACTCGGGATCATTTGATTGGTCAATGGTGGTTGGTTTTGGGTTGAAAGGTTAACCCTTCAGATGTTAGAAATGGAATTAAAAGCCTTTGTTATCTCCCTCTTATCCTGTATCCAGTCCATGGAGGAAGGTTGTATGATCAATTCTCATTTCCTAGACTTCTAGGCCTCTGGCCTAGTAAGCCTCTCTTTGTTCATGCACTGTCCTGTAAGTTCACCTTAGGATCTATATGCTTGGAATATTGCCTAATGCTTGCTTGTATATATTAATTATCTTTATGGAGTCAGATAAACATTTTAATAGACTAATTGCTTAGTCACATTTTATGTATATACTGTATAATATACTGAATATTCACATATTACTATTACATATCAAATATTACTGCCCACTACAGCTTTATGCCCTTTTCTTTCTCATCAGTGATAGATGGAGTTGTGGATGGAGTTCTAGCCTACTGCTTTGACCTATCATGTCCTGCCAGATCGGTGGCCATTGATGAAAGGAAGCTAGTTAATCATACCGAGAAACACACTCCGTAAGGATGTGACCGTCACAGGTTCTCACAACGTTAGGGAAAGTTAAGGAGGGGGGGAAGTATGTCAATTTCAAGGACAGATTGATGCAAATGTAAATTGGGAAACCACACCTCTGTGTGCAATCATTGGACATTGGGATAGCGAATAATATCCCTAGGCTCACATACCTCTATGTTTCTCAGACCACAATAATCAGATAGACAGGTTATAGTCTAATCATATTCCATCCCCTAAAGCATGCCTATATCTCCCTGTGACCCTTGAGTTTACACAGAGGGCATTCACAACTTCTCCTGCATCCAGTGACTAATCACCTTGAGGGCTTTTCTCAGCTTGAGAGGGCTAAACTATTCTAGACGGGTTTCCTTCTTACTGAAAATCCCATAAAAGTGCAGAAACATAATTTCTCTCTCCCTGAAACTCCATTGCTCTTTCATCTCATTTAAATGAGCCTGCCTCCCGAGTCAGAGCCTCACCAAGGGAATAGGAATGGTTCATGTTTTTATCTCCTGGCCGTTTTCACTCTTTCTCCCTCTTCAATAGAAAACCGTGCGCTGAATCCCAGGTCTGCGTTTCTGTCTATGGAGGGTGGATGGGATTTATTGAACATTTCTCAAACATGTCTCGCCTTAGGGCAGAGAATCTTTGCCTGGAAACTCCCATTTAGTATAGCTTGGTTAGTTAGGCTAGGGGCTCCACCCCCAAGTCGAGGCCTTTTGCCTGAGGCTCAGGGGCTGTTGTAATGGGGCTCTGGCCTGTTAGTCAGTGGGGCTAACGATGGGGAGACGAAGCATGTCGTCTGTGAGCCTGGATTCAAAGATGTGATTCCAGCACGTTGGCAATGTCCCTCCTCTGACATTTCATGCACGGCAACTTGGAATGGTAAACATACTATCGAAATTAAATGGTTGGTGCCGATCCTTCCCGTTCATTTTGGATTGTGGACTACAGTTTTCACCTTAGCCTAATGAGTGGGTCCGGATACTCGCAACATATGCTATCTATTGTGGACCCTAGACACAATACCACTTGGTGGTATGAAAACGTGTGACCAATTTAAATGTTGTGCTGCAAAACTATCCATTTAAGATGCAAGGAATCACAATGACATTAGGTCAATGATACTCATGTGGATCTTGATATCCATAAACCATGAGACGAGAGAGAGAGAGCTCTTTGCCTGTTACCTTGTTGAATTCTAACCCATCACAGAGCTGTGCAATACATTTCCTCCAGGTAAATTATTTCATTGTCCTCCTGCCTCCACAAGTGGATGGGCACCATAAATCGTAGCTAGCACCAGATTCATATTGATGATATCCAATAACGTGCTTGAGAGGACAAAGAGATAGATTAATGCCTGGTGTGTGTGTGTGTGGAGGAGCAATTCCAGCTTCCTCTCTAAACCATTACCCGGCAAACTGTGCAGAAATGAGTGTCCTAATAGCTTCTGAAACAACATAGTAGTTCAGTTCTCCCTTTTATTTTCCGTGTCCACTCTCTCAGAGTGTGACTTCAAATTGATTTAGAACGAAACGCCACTAAATCTTATACCGTTTAGGACAAAATTGGTTTTGATTTCAAAACGCTTGGTACTGCACACAGGCACACAGGCAGCCATCGAATGCAGCGGTCACCGAAAAAGCAAGAAAATGAAGTTGGAGGAAACAATTAGTGAATTCTACCCCCCCCCATTCTCCACAAATGAATGACACTAAAAATTGCCTGCCGCTTTGCCAGGCTAGCCACGCTAATGGAACGCGACGTCCATTACGGCTCTTTGGTTTCCTCTCTTCGTATTGGAATAGAATGGAACATGAGAAAACTGGGCTCCATGGGGAGATTTTCTTCCATTCTCTTCTGGGATTCATTCATTCCTGACAATTACCAGCTCCATTTGCTATGCCTATAATGCCAAATTACAGAATCTGACGCAGACAATTTAAGTAAATGCAAGCAACATGCTGGGCTGGTTTGCATTTCAAAAATGACTTTTATTTCAGTTTGAAATGCAAGGCTTAACAAAGTGAAATCTTTTAAGGACTTAGTCATTTTAGAGTGACTCATTCTAACAACCTGAGTGAAGTTGCCATCTAAAACGGTTGAACAAGACACCACACCGCCTTGACTTAAGCAGTTTAAGTTCACAAACAAAAACAATGTGTGCTCAAGCTACCAGTTGCGAAACCAAACCTTACAATAACCATAATTATGATGATTATAAGCAAATCAAGTTCCCATTGAAACTATGCTCCCATGAGTTTTTCCTGAGACATGAAGATGCCTTTAGTTTAGTGGGCCAACCTGTTTTGAGTTGTGCAGAACAGCCAAGTTAGAGATTCTGATTGGTAACATTGGTGCAAGTCACTTGAATCACAGTCGATTTCAGCAGCTGAACTGCTAGGGATCAAATCAAATCAAATTTGATTTGACACATGCGCCGAATACAACAGGTGTAGACCTTACAGTGAAACGCTTACTTACAAGCCCATAACCAACAATGCAATTTTAAAACAAAGCCCCATATACTACTCACCATTGTGACCTGTACGCTCTCGTTGGCTGGCCCTCACTACATATTCGTCGCCAAACCCACTGGCTCCAGGTCATCTATAAATCTCTTCTAGGCAAATCCCCGCCTTATCTTAGCTCATTGGTCACCATAGCAACACCCACCCGTAGTATGCGTTCCAGCAGGTATATCTCACTGGTCATCCCCAAAGCCAACACCTCCTTTGGCCGCCATTCCTTCCAGTTCTCTGCTGCAAATGACTGGAACGAACTGCAAAGATTTCTAAAGCTGGAGACACTTATCTCCCTTACTATCTTTAAGCATCAGTTGTCAGAGCAGCTTACCGATCACTGCAACTGTACACAGCCCATCTGTAATTAGCCCACCCAACTACCTCATCCCCATATTGTTATTTACATTGTTATTTATTTTGCTCATTTGCACCCCAGTATCTCTATTTGCACATCTATCACTCCAGTGTTAATACAAAATTGTAATTACATTTACGTCATTTATCCAGAGCGACTTACAAATTGGTGCATTCACCTTATGATAGCCAGTGGGACAACCACTTTACAATATATATCTTCTTCTTTTTTTTCTTTTTTTTTTTTGTTGGGGGGGGGGGGGGGTAGAAGGATTACTTTTATCCTATCCCAGGTATTCCTTAAAGAGGTGGGGTTTCAAGTGTCTCCGGAAGGTGGTGAGTGACTCCGCTGTCCTGGCGTCGTGAGGGAGCTTGTTCCACCATTGGGGTGCCAGAGCAGTGAACAGTTTTGACTGGGCTGAGCGGGAACTGTGCTTCTGCAGAGGTAGTGGGGCCAGCAGGCCAGAGGTGGATGAACGCAATGCCCTCGTTTGGGTGTAGGGACTGATCAGAGCCTGAAGGTACGGAGGTGCCGTTCCCCTCACAGCTCCGTAGGCAAGCACCATGGTCTTGTAGCAGATGCAGGCTTCAACTGGAAGCCAGTGGAGTGTGCGGAGGAGCGGGGTGAATTATTTTGCACTATGGCCTATTTATTGCCTTACCTCCATAACTTACTACATTTGCACACACTGTATATAGATTTTCTGTTGTATTTTTGACTTTATGTTTTGTTTATTCCTCTGTGTTTGTTGTTTTTAATCGCACTGCTTTGCTTTATCTTGGCCAGGTCGCAGTTGTAAATGAGAACTTGTTCTCAACTGGCTTACCTGGTTAAATAAAGGTGAAATAAATAAAATTTAAAAAAAGAAAGAATACCAAAACAATTAGCAAAAAAAACAATAGCGAGGCTATATAAAGGGGGTACCGGTACCGAGTCAATGTGCGGGGGCACCGATTAGTTGAGGTAATTGAGGTAATATGCACATGTAGGTAGAGTTATTAAAGTCACTATGCATAGATAATAAACAGAGAATAGCAGCAACGTAAAGGGGGGGGGGGGGGGGGGGGGGGGGGCAATGCAAATAGTCTGGGTAGCCATTTGATTAGATGTTCAGGAGTCTTATGGCTTGGGGGTAGAAGATGTTTAGAAGCCTCTTGGACATAGACTTGGCGCTCCGGTACCGCTTGCCATAGAGGTCCTGGATGGCAGGAAGCTTGGTCCCAGTGATGTACTGGGCTGTACGCACTACCCTCTGTAGTGCCTTGCGGTCGGAGGCTGAGCAGTTGCCATACCAGGCAGTGATGCAACCAGTCAGGATGCTCTCGATGGTGCAGCTGTAGAACATTTTGAGGATCTGAGGACCCATACCAAATCTTTTCAGTCTCCTTAGGGGGAATAGGTTTTGTCGTGCCCTCTTCACGACTGTCTTGGTGTGCTTGGACCATGTTAATTTGTTGGTGATGTGGACACCAAGGAACTTGAAGCTCTCAACCTGCTCCACTACAGCTCCGTCAATGAGAATGGGGGCGTGCTCGGTCCTCTTCTTTTTCCTGTAGTCCACAATCATCTCCTTTGTCTTGATCACGTCGAGGGAGAGGTTGTTGTCCTGGCACCACACGGCCAGGTCTCTGACCTCCTCCCTATAGGCTTTCTCGTTGTTGTCGGTGATCAGGCCTACCACTGTTGTGTCATCGGCAAACTTAATGATGGTGTTGGAGTCGTGCCTGGCCATGCGGTCATGAGTGAACAGGGAGTACAGGAGGGGACTGAGCACGCACCCCTGAGGGGCCCCTGTGTTGAGGATCAGGGTGGCGGATGTGTTGTTACCTACCCTTACCACCTGGGGGCGGCCCGTCAGGAAATCCAGGATTCAGTTGCAGAGGGAGGTGTTTAGTCCCAGGGTCCTTAGCTTAGTGATAAGCTTTGAGGGCACTATGGTGTTGAACGCTGAGCTGTAGATGCTACAGAGATGAGGGGATTTAAGAAGTGTTTTGGCGGTAGCTTGCCAAACTACCCTCCCAAAGCTCCTGCAAAATCTGGCTGACATTTAACTGTGTCCGTGGTTACTAGCCTGGCTCCACAGCTACACCACTGGAGGAAGGGAGAGGGTGATGATGCGTCTGCTAAATGACTAAAATGTAAAATGTAAATGTAATGATGAATGGCACATTCAGCCCCTGGTCAGAGGGTGCCACAAGAGGGCGTGGTCTCACCATATCCTTTTCTCCTTCACATGTCCACCCGAAAAGTTGTCTTCAGTGACACTGGGTATGCTGATGATGTGGGGCTGTCCCGAGTCATATACCACTAACCAGCCTCCAGGAGGACACTTCCATGGGCTTGGAGGCAAAGCAGCTGGATGAGTGGGCCACATCCAATAACATGCTCCTGAATGGGTCTGTGGAAATCCAGATATGCCTTTCGAGAGACCCTCCACAACCTGCACCACTCATACTAGGAGGACAGGAAGTACCAGTGGTAACAACAATCAAGTATCTTGGTTTTCATCTAGACTAACCTCAGTGGTGACACACAGTCTGTGAGGAAGGTCTCAAATCGCCTGCACTTTGACTGTACTCACCAGAACTGGCCTACCCATTGAAGATCTGGTCACAGTCTATATACAACCCTGGTGAGGCCTGGTCTGGAATACGGTGGAGTGCTGTTAGTTGGATGCAATAAAAAGGCCCAACTGGACAGGGTGCAGAGGAGGGCCCTGAGTATTATCTCCAGAGGTGGCGCAGTCCAACCACAGCTCCAGTCACTGCAGAGCAGGCTGCAGTGCACCTGGCAAAGGACATGCACACTCTTGAACACCCACTGCATGACCTGCTCCCTCTAATAAGGGAGGTGACTGCACCACCAGGTTCCTGAGAAACATACATAACTGTCCTGTATTACAGCCTGTATTATAAATAAATAAAACACAACTACCTTCTGTCAGACTGTACAATAACTCTAGCTCTTACATGTTTTCAAAGTAGATCTTTTTTAACAAGTCAGTTTTCCATCATGAAATGAAATGTCATATATACAAAATTATGTGGACATCCCTTCAAATTAGTGGATCAAACTAAAGCTACTGAGTACTCATGTCTTGTGATGAGTAACCCTGCCCCAAATATTTGTGTTAGGGGTAAATCCATTTGAATTCAATCACTTTTTGACAGCATCCCTTTTGATTTAAACAAAACTTTCCATACATGTTTGCCTATGGAAACATTTGTCAGAAAGTGATTTTTTGGACCTGAATGCCAAAACATTCAGGAGATAAAGGTGCTCAAAGTTCACCCATTTTGCACACTCCACCATACCATGAGACATCCATGTCTTCATCACTGGAAAAGATAAACGGTTGAGTTTGATATCATTTAAAAGCTTACAAACAGTGTTGTCAAACTACTACAAAAAGTAACGTTCTGAGCACTTCTACAATGGGCAAATATGTATAGAAAGGTTTAGTTCAAATCAAAAGGGGTGCTGTCAAAAAGTGATTGAATTCAAATGAATTTACCCTTAGGTCTTGAATTGTGCAGACGCCCCCTGTTTGATACCCGTGGTTAGCAATCTCTTCCACTGCTTGTGCCTCATAACAGTCTCAAACAGTAATCTGTATCTAAACAAATCAAAAGTTCCACTAGGTTCAACCTCCCTCCCTGCCCCCTGCCTCTGCTCCCTGGTAACAGGTGGAGCAGAAGAGTGAGAGCTGTAACAGGGATCGAACCCTAGCTCATACAGTGCAGAGGTGAACGCCTAACGGACTGTACCACAAAAGCCTCTGGGTTAAGGCAGTACAACGCTCCCATACACCACTTACTCAAGCATAACATTTTATGATCACGCCCCACACACATCACTGACACTTAAAAATTGACCTTATCGTCTCAGTCATGTAACAAAAGACAAAATGCCTTACGAAACACTTCCCCCTGTCCAATCAAGTAGCATAACAACCTAGTATGGCATACAGCAAATTGTGTGCATCTGCATCATCATCATCATGCATTAATGACAAAACACATGACACCCTACTCCCTATATTATTGTGCACTACGTTTGACCAGAGCTCTACGTGGCTCTGATGAGATGTAGTGCACTATAAAGGAAATATTGGGTACATTTAGCTAAAGATACTCTCTCTCACTTTTCTTACCTTGATGTGGTGCGCCAACTGTGAACAGACCAGTATCCAGGGCATGGATGTAGGAATTAGTCTGCATCTCTATTGCAACCGTTCCTGAAATCTCCCCAAAGCCACTGATACACCACCATCCACCTAGAAAGCAGAAAGAAAAATTATTTTTTTGTACTTTGTGGAATATCATAAGAACCATTTTCAATTAGTTAGCTAGCTAGCTGCCAAGATTTACCAGCAAACAACATACCAACAATATCCGGTTTATCTTCTGCATCGTCTCTTTTTCTCTTCTTATCCTTGTGCTTCTTCTTCTTTCTACAAGACAATTGTGGATCAATATTAGCCAGGTCAAATTAGAAATGGGAGAAAAGGAAAATAGCAAACAGTTAGCTAGCTAACATTAGCCAGTAGCTAACTGTTAATGCCTGGTCAGTCGATTAATGATAGCTAGCTAGATAGCATTATTAGCCAGCTTGATTCGCCATCTTCTACACAAACACATATTGAATTCGATGTTGAGGAATAAACTCACCCCTTGTTTAGTCCTTTCAAAACAAGTTTTGTTGTTTTCACTTTTGAATATTCAGCCATATCTTCAGATTATGGTAAACTAGCTAGCTAACAACGTACACAAACGAAAACAACATGCAAGTACGGTGGCCGTAAAGGAAAAAACGAATATCAGTTATCAAACGAGCGATATCTATTGTTTGGAGAATATATTATATTGTATGTGTTCGCATTCGGAATTCTGCATTGTTTGTTTAGCAATTTTTTTTTTGGTGCAATTTAAAAGTTGATGTGTTACTAATTATGTGTTACTAAGTGTGACAGAGAGTTGCACACTCTATATATAAGCTCCCGGTAATGTATTGGGAAGAGTAAACCATCAACGTTTCTTCTGGGTTACTATGGTCATTGGTTGAACTAATTGCACTGTTTGTCTACATAACCTGGTTCAAGCATTCATGACATTACCCTGAAGCAGGCACAGTGATGCTTAAACGTTGGTGGTTTACCCAATACATTACTGGGAGCTTATATATGTTAGTCAGCACCTTTACTAACTTGTTTGGGTGTGCAATAGCTCATGCTTTTCAATCGACTAAATGTGACAGGGAAAATCACACACACAAACAGTGTGATGCAATCGCCATCACACTGCCCTATCCCATCTGGACAAGAGGAATGCCTATGTAAGAATGCTCTTGACTATAGCTCAGCATTCAACACCATAGTACCCTCCAAGCTCATCATTAACCTCGAGGCCCTGGGTCTGAACCCTGCCCTGTGCAACTGGGTCCTGGACTTCCTGACGAGCCGTCCCCAGGTGGTGAAGGTAGGAAACAACACCTCCACTTCGCTGATCCTCAACACAGGGTCCCCACAAGAGTGCGTGCTCAGCCTTTTCCTGTACTCCCTGTTCACCATGCTATCATCCAGAAGGCGAGGTCAGTACAGGTGCATCAAAGCTGGGACAGAGAGACTGAAAAACAGCTTTTATCTCAAGGCCATCAGACTGTTAAATAGTAATTAATAGCACATTAGAAGCTGGCCACTGGCCACTTTAATAAATGGAACACTAGTCACTTTAATAATATTTACATATCTTGTATTACTCATCTCATATGTATATACTGTATTTTATCCTATTCTACTGTATCAGTCTATGCCTCTCTGACATTGCTCGTCCATATATTTATTTATCTATTCTTAATTCCATTCCTTAGATTTGTGTGTATTGGGTATATGTTGTGAAATTGTTAGATATTACTTGTTAGATATTACTGCACTGTCGGAGCCAGAAACACAAGCATTTCGCTACACTCGCAATAACATCTGCTAAACACGTGTATGTGACCAATACAATTTGATTTGACACACACATGCACTTAAACTTGCACATGCAGACACTCACAATATCACTCCAACTCACACACACACACACGCATGCCGTAGTCGAGGAGCATGCTTAAGTCCAGGCCAAGGCTGGCAGTGTGAGTGTGAGGGAGATCTCCTGGCTCAGAGGGGTACTGGAGTTTGGCTTTTCTCTCAACAGACTGTGTGTCTGCTGTCCCTGACCAGCAAATTACTGTAAATTACTACCCAGATGTTGGCTCTGTTTTTTCATTCACCAAGACTCCTGGAGGGGCTGAAAGAAAGCATGAACACAGATCAATGCACGCACACACACACACACACACACACACATACTCTCACACACACACAAACACTAATTCCTTCCACTTCAACGAACACGCATATGTGTGCTGCTAAACATGTGCCAGAAAAGTTATACACTGACTCCACTGACTGCTAGAAGGTACATGGCGTTGTGTCACAATCCTGCATCAATTCCTCCTAGAGTCTTCATTGAAACAATCAACCTGTGAGCCATAGCAGGTATCGACCTCCGAGAGAGGGATGCGCTCAAATGAATGTTTATACTAATGACTCCCCATTAAGGAAGAATAGCCCAATCAGGAAGCCTGTGACGGGAGGTAATAAATCATTGGATGACAGTGTCAGGAAGTAAAATTAATGAGACAGAAGCTTGTGCGACCTGCCCTTTGTGGTAAAGCAAAGCGCTACCAGGCAGCGGTGTTTCTCGGAGCTGAAAAGTCCCACAGACAAAGAGGAGAGACTCAGATGATGTGGGATCAGTGAAGTCAATTAAAGGCTTTCAGTGATGATAAATGGTAATTTTAGGGAGTTGTATTGGCTCCTTGTTAGTTGATATTACAACTTACGATCAATCAATCAAATGTTTTTATATAAAGCCCTTTTTACATCAGCAGTTGTCAAAGTGCTTTACAGATACCCAGCCTAAAACCCCAAAGAGCAAGCAATGCAGAGGCAGAAGCACAGTGGCTAGGAAAACTCCCTAGAAGGCAGGAAGCTATAAGAAACCTAGAGAGGAACCAGGCTCCAAGGGTTGGGCAGTCTTCTTCTGGCTATCCTGGATAGGGATTTAAGAAAAATCAAATTTTTTGTTTCACAAACTACTCTACCATATAGGCTACTATAGCCATCATACTCCTAACCAGTGACTAGTGATCTGCAAGGACATGCCAGGTGCACGCAATATGGTGGAATTGCCTCACACATTTACACTTGCCTATAGTTTGGAAGGAAATTAGGCAATTTGATTGGATCACAGCCCAGTAACATTTTTCAAATGGGAAGATTGTAGTGAAAGTTCTCTGGATGCCAGACTTCATATATATTGCAGTGATAACAAAAATCGATTATAAACATTGCTGCTTTTGAAAATGTTTGCAATGAGTTTGAGTCGGTGGAGCGAGTAATACCAAATCAATTTGCAAACATGAACGTTAGTCTTGTTTTCATAAATAATTTTTGACATTTAGACTAATTTACGAGTGTGAATCAAATGAAAATCAAGAATCAAGCCTCAAATTAGCAGAGCGCTCTACCAAACTAAAGATACATTTACATACATTTACATTTAAAGATGTCGCTGGATGGGAAGAGAAGTAACTGCAGCTTAGATTTGACTGTTTTTGACACAACTATTAAACCGGTTCCAAGCAAACACACAATTGAAGGCGCTCTCTGTGGATGTTCAGATTGGGTGTGTCCCAAATGGTACGCTATTCCCTTTGTAGTGCACTACTTTTGACCAGGGCCTATCCCTTTAGGGTCAAAAGTAGTGCATTACAAAGGGAATAGGGTGCCATTTTGGACTCATATTCTGTCTCTTGGTAATTGAGCTCTGTGATGTTCCCTTTCTGTCTTTTGTCTCTTTTTCATGTCTTTAAATGCATTTGATCTAACAAGTCTTCCTGCCCCATTAGCTGCCTTTCAGCTGTGAAGGAAAATTCATCATCCTTTGTGAGGCCAAGACCCAAAACAAGGATAACAGAGAATTAGTTTAGGAAATAGTGTTTCAGAGAGAAGAGAGTTGTTAGTGGCATTTCATTGTCTGGCATTTTAGTTTGTCTTCTAAACGTGAAGGGATTGTGACAGTAAACTATGACAAACCATTAAAAGTTAATATCAAAGTGCACGCAACCGCAAGAGCACACACACTTATACAGTGGCTTGCGAAAGTATTCACCCCCCTTGGCATTTTTCCTATTTTGTTGCCTTACAACCTGAAATTAAAATTGTTTTTTGGGGGGTTTGTATCATTTGATTTACACAACATGCCTACCACTTTGAAGATGCAAAATATTTTTTATTGTGAAACAAACAGAAAACTTGAGCGTGCATAACAATTCACCCTCCCAAAGTCAATACTTTGTAGAGCCACCTTTTGCAGCAATAACTGCTGCAAGTCTCTTAGGGTATGTCTCTATAAGCTTGGCATATCTAGCCACTGGGATTTTTGCCCATTCTTCAAGGCAAAACTGCTCCTTCAAGTTGGATGGGTTCCGCTGGTGTACAGCAATCTTTAAGTCATACCACAGATTCTCAATTGGATTGAGGTCTGGGCTTTGACTAGGCCATTCCAAGACATTTAAATGTTTCCCCTTAAACCACTTGAGTGTTGCTTTAGCAGTATGCTTAGGGTCATTGTCCTGCTGGAAGGTGAACCTCCTTCCCAGTCTCAAATCTCTGGAAGACAAACAGGTTTCCCTCAAGAATTTCCCTGTATTTAGCGCCATCCATCATTCCTTTAAATCTGACCAGTTTCCCAGTCCCTGCCGATGAAAAACTATAACCAAACGTGTTTGCTTATTTTTTTATTTAAGCAATGGCTTTTTTCTGGCCACTCTTCCGTAAAGCCCAGCTCTGTGGAGTGTATGGCTTAAAGTGGTCCTATGGACAGATACTCCAATCTCCGCTGTGGAGCTTTGCAGCTCCTTCAGGGTTATCTTTGGTCTCTTTGTTGCCTCTCTGATTAATGCCCTCCTTGCCTGGTCCGTGAGTTTTGGTGGGCGGCCCTCTCTTGGCAGGTTTGTTGTGGTGCCATATTATTTCCATTTTTTTTACAATGGATTTAATGGTGCTCTGTGGGATGTTTAAAGTTTCTGATATTTTTGTATAACCCAACCCTGATCTGTACTTCTCCACAACTTTGTCCCTGACCTGTTTGGAGAGCTCCTTGGTCTTCGTGGTATTTTTTTTATTTCACTTCACCAATTGGACTATTTTGTGTATGTCCATTACATGAAATCCAAATAAAAATCCATTTAAATTACAGGTTGTAATGCAACAAAATAGGAAAAACTCCAAGAGGGATGAATACTTTTGCAAGGCACTGTACACAATCACACACCACAGTAAACTATGAACCCTATGATGATGGCTATGCAGACAAAAGAACATCCAGTAGTTAAACGCCCAGGAAAGCAATCCCTTTTGTAAAATGATGAGATTGACCAGAGGTATTCCTAAATAACAGCTATTCAGTAAAAAGCCTCTGGAGGAATGATTGTTCCCATGGCAGATAACGGCAGACAGTACAAGACGTCTCAATTGATAGGAACTGACATGCAACACTCTCTTCCCTCGCTCTCTCTCCCTTTCTCCCTCATTCTCTCTCTCTCCCTCCTTGTCCCCCTCCTTCTCTCCCTCCATTCCTTTCCCCCAAACCATTAGCATTACAGTCCCTCAACTCCTGTTCACCCCGCCTTGCAAACATAAGTGCCGTCTACTCTCTCCCGCAACCACCTCCCTCCTCTCTCTC